TGGAATGAATTCTAATGAGATAATTTGGAGGCTAATTGGTGGTAGACAAGTCATAGAATCCTTTCTGTTGTTAATTAGATATTCACTTTTTTTCTAGTTGCTACCCATTGTAGGATCCTGAAGAAAAGTTAGAGATCCTAAGATAGTGCTTTAAAAATGGCACCCAAGTACTGAGAAATACTTTGATTCTCTACAGTTCCCTTGTCTCTGTATTTGTACTTTAAAAAAGTTTCCTTCACACTTGACCTCAAAAATATACATAAAAATAGGTAGATTCCAGGTTCTACTCCCATGTAGGCAATGTAGTTATCTGAGAGAAAGACAGAGCTCCTCCTTTCCACCTTCCACTACCTTCACCAGAAATGTAACTACGATTTGTTAGGTGAGCCTTAGCTTTTTAAAATATTTTTAGCCGAAGTTCTGAGTTTTGATTCTATACTCTAAGAATTAGGAGATATTAAAAGTTCCAGCCCTCATGATAATTTTCTTTTCACATACTTGAAGGGAAAAATTAAGGTATTAATTACTAGCCTTTGATTTTGGTTAATCAGTGGGATCCTGTGGTCAGAACTCTATTTTGGGTTCTTCTTGGCAGAAGATGAAGTGTTTTCCCCATAATTTGTAGTATTAATAATTTCCCAAAATTAGCATTATTTTAAAATGGGATATGTTTCAGATTGTTAACATCAACACACACATACACCCTCCTGATTTGGGGGTTATTCATGTAAGGTTTTTAAAAGATTTATTAAATTTTTATTTATTTTTATTTTTAATTGATTTTAGAGAGGAAAGGAGGGAAGGAGGGGTGGGGGAGAGAGAGAGAAATATGGATTTGTTGTTCCACTCATTTATATATTCATTGGTCAATTCTTTTCTGGGCCCTGTGCCCTGACCAAGGACTGAACCCACAGCCCTGATGTATTGGGACGACCCTCTAACCAAATGAGCTACCTGGCCAGGGCCTAAAAGAGATTTATTTTAAAACAGACCAAAAACATAGAAAAGGGAGAACTTGGCTTTAGCAAGTAACTATAAAGAGAATCATAATCTGTGAAATTGACTCTTGAAATTTGATACAATGCTCATTCTAATTTGAATTCATATTGACTTAATAACCTTAAGAATTAATGACTCTGTTAGGTGATAAATTTTTTTATTTTTTTAAGGCATGTAACTTCTAGTAGTTTTGCTCAATCACTAATCATTTAACTGACAGTTTTTTCCTTCTTTTATTCAATTCACATTCTTGTTTAAAAATCAAAGACTTTTTAACGTATTTGCTTTTCTATCTTTTCAAACTATGTATTATACTTTTTAAAGCGTTTGCTAGATTTTCTGAATTTGAAGACACTGTTTCAATAGTAATTTAAACCTTTCTCTCAACTTTCTGTTATCCAGGTCTGCAACAAGACCAAGTGGGCCCAAAGCCATATTCTCTGGTAAACAGCTTTTGGAATCTGTGTTGTCATTTTGAAGGGTTTAAAAGAACAAAGAAATGATCCAAGTTATAGAATTCTTTTTCTTTCCCTGTGTGAATGTTTTTAACCTTTGAGCATGTGAAACTCCAAATGTACTTGATAAGGAATATACCAAGATATTGTGAATTAATTTGCAGAGGCAAGAAAATTTCTGTTTATGTGGTGATAAGCAGTTTATATACTGGTACATAAAAGATATTCATGACAAGGAGAAAGTAGAATTAATATTCTGAGTGAGCATAGATAAAATTGATTTATTAGTGATATTTTACCATTAATATAAATTCCTTATGGTATAATTTGTAGTTTTGAGTAAAAGGAATACCCTACTGGGTTATGAGATATGTTTAAGGATTAGATTCCCATTGCAGCTACATCAACAAAAACAGGTTTTGGCAGGATAGAAAGAATTCTGATTTGGAGAGGTGTGGAAGTGTGGAGATCGGAAAAAAGCACTATAAGTGTTGGCGGTGAAGTGGCACCAGAATGTCACCGGTGGTTGGACCTCAGTTCATCAACCTCAGTTCTTCAGTCTGGCTAAGAAAGAATTCAGAGGCAAGACTCAAAACTATAAGAGAAAGTTTATTTAGAAAGTCGCAGAGGTAGGAAAAGTGAGCCAGCAGGGAGTAGGCTCAGGAAACAAGTTACAGAGGAAGAAGGACCCTTGGAGCTTAGGAAAAGTAAAGGTAAAGCTAGCATGCTTGGGGGGAGACAAGGGGGAGGGCAAAAATGCTGAGGGATCCAGGGAGGGAGACCAGCACTGGGCCCTTTGTTTTGAGAGTATTTATCTGGAGGTCTCAGGGGAGGATCCCCCGTAGACTAGTCGTCAGCTTTCCAGGTGTGTCCTTTCAGGGTCATGGTCTCTCCTGGTTGGTTGGTTCCTGAACAAGGGGTCATTAGTCAGTGAAGCTGGTCCTGATGTCAGCCATGGCATCAGCTTGTCTGGTTTTGCTGCTTTTCCGAGCCTGGAGCTGAAACACTACTGAGGCCTAGATGTTATCGCTAGGGGTTAATTCTTAAAGGAGTGGTCATGCAAGGACCTGAACAGAAGTGGCATGAGGCCACCTTTCAACCCCTTGCTCCCCCTCCAAAGGGGTCTATCACATGACCAGTGACATGCAAGGGGAGGAAAGATCAAGGGAGGGTCTGAATGCATGACCAGCAACATGAAAGGTCAGGGGGTCTAATCCACATGACTAGCGGTATGGGGAGGAAATGGCTAGGGGAGGAAAGGTTACCCTGGCGGCAAGGTACTTGTTTTCCCAGTTTTGCCTGTTGCAAGGCACCCCGGGGCTTTTCTTCTTGGTGACATGTACCTGTCTGTCCCACTGTCCTTGCTCTGTTCATATCTGTCTAAATGCCTACCACACAAGAACAAAAGTTGAATATAAGTATACATTTTTTCTTTCTCCAGTAAAAATTTAACTTTTTCCTAGTTTTATAAATGTGATCGTCTCTTTCAAAATGAGATTTATTTATTTCAAAATTTCAAATATCTACACTATAGGACAATTAAAAAAATAGACAAGCAGGTGAACATTATATTTGTCTCCTAAGGTTGCCATCACAAAATACCAGACTGGAGAGCTTGAACAACAGACTTGGTTTTCTCATATTTCTGGAGGCTGGAAGTCCATGATCAAAGTGCCAACAGTGCAAATTTTTCGTGAGGCCTCACTCCTTGGTTTGCAGATGACCAGCTTCTCACTGTTGCTTCATATGGCCTTTTCTCTGTGCAAACCACTTCTGGTGTCCCTCTTCTTGTAAGTATATCAGTCCTTTCGGATCAGAGCCCCACTCTTATGGCCCTTTTTAATTGTAATTTCCTCCTTAAAGGCCCCATCTCCAAATACAGTCACGTAGGGGGTTAGGGCTTCAATATATGAATTTTGAGGGGACACATTTCAGTCCGTAACAAACATTAAACCCTCATAATATCCTTTAAGTTTTCTTATTTATATCCGTGTGTGCTATATATAATTTTTAGTGGGATCACACCATTTTGTTTGGTAACTTGCATTTTAAATGAACACATCATGACTATGCATGTCAATAAATGCATTTCAGCAACATTTTTAATGGAAGTACAGTATATTATTTTCATTGTTTGGATGTTCAATGATACCAATTCTGTTCTGTTGATATTTGGATTGTTTTCTTTTTACTATTAAAACTTTGAACACATATCTGTGTGCACTTGTGTGATTATTTCTTCAGGATGAAGTCGTAGAAGTGGAACTGCTGAGTCACAGGGGTGCAAGGTTTGTAGAACTTTTGTCAATATAAGAAATATCCAAACCTGTAAGAATGTTTTATGAGTTTATTTGAGCCAAACTGATAACATTTGCCAGGAAAGCAAAATCTCAAAGGATTGAGAAAATACTCCAGAAAATGGTAGTTTTACTACTTATTTTATACATCAGGATCAAAGGACAAGACCTAAGGGTGTTACATGAAATTCATTGGTGATAGATTAGAGGCAGGAGAAAGCAAAGCAGGGGGATCACTGGGATTGAGTAAAGTAGAGAGGTACTTCTTTTACATTTGTGGGTAAGAGAGTTAGAATAAACAACAAAGGGATTTGAGGTCTCTATTGTGGTGCAGTGGTTGTGCCCCGAGGAGTCTGGAAAAAAAGAATTACCCTCTGTTATCCTAGGTACAAAAAGACAATAGACATACCATTTAAGGAAAAGATTGACCTTTGTGAGGGAAGATAGGGGCCTAGGACAGGACTACCTGCCACGACCTGCTTTTACAATAGTTAGAAAGTTTTAATTTCAGATCTTCCTATGTGGTTACTTTCAGTCTCTGAGTTTGTAAGCCCTCCATGCAGGCCGCCCCTGAGCTTGTCAGGTTTAGTATGTGGCCACTTTTTCATCCACACTTTTAATACGTATTGCCAACAGCCCTCCTGAAAGGCTGTATCAGTTATAAACAGCAGTGTTTACATACATCCTATTTATCCATACCCCTAGCAACTCTGAGTATTTTTACAATTTTTGGCTAATTTGATAGTTGGTAGTAAAAACACACCTCGGTTATGTAAGTCTACATTCTACGTTTCCAGCTGCCTCTGGCTTCCTGGAGGAAAGTAACTGAAGCGATTCGGCAGAGTTTAGCTTCGGGTATCCTCAGTGGGATGCCAGGCGAGTGACAGCAGACAGCCAGGAGAGAATCCAGCAGGGCAATCTACAGGGAAAGGGAGTTTTACCAAGCCTTTTATGGGAAGGGCAATTGATAGAGGGAGGTTTTACAGTGTTAAACTTGAAGCGGGTATGTCACTCCAGATTAGCTGAACGTGCGTTCAGTAAGAACAAGCACATCCCCTGACCACTCTGCGCGGCTGAGCACTCCAGCCCGGCGTCCCACGGGCAGCGGTGCCACTGAGGAGCAACTGGCAGCAGGGCAGGAGGACCCGGGGCCGCCCAGTCGTCCCACAATGCCTCGCTCGCGCCACCTGAGGGCGGAGAGAAACGACCCCGGAGACACTAGGAATCCGGGGCGAACCGCGAGAAGTGCGCACGCGCACTGACCTCGGCGAGCCCTAGCAACCAGAGCAGTGACAGTAGCAACCGCCGGAATGGTGAGTACCTTTCAGGCCTCGTAGCCAAAGCTGAAAAGAGGTTGGAAGTGGGAAGGGTGATGGTGGAGAGTTGAGGGCTGGGAGCGCGGAGGGTGTCTTTGAACCGCGGAAGGGGGCCAATAGCGGATGCTGGCTCTGCGAAGTCAGAGGCCTGGGGTGATCGAGAAGCCCTGGCACTGGGTGGTCTGGGATGAGGGCGGTTTGGGGCAGACTAGAGGTTGGGTGAATGTGGAGGGATTCTGGCAAAGAAAAGGGAGGGCAAAGAGCAGGGAATTCTCGAAAAACAGAGGATAGGAGTGGGGAAGGTGATGGACGGGAGTGGGTTAATAAGGATCTCTTTTACATAGAAGTAAGTTCCCCCCTCGCGAGATGGAGTGGGGGAGCTGGAATGTGTGTCACACCGTTGCAGCAATTATTGGAAACCTGTGATGTTCCCAGGTTGCCCTGAATGACTGTGAGTGCAGTTATTAGGTAACGTTGTAAAATCCACTCTGATAGAAGGTATTAGGCTACTATTTCACAAATTTCAGTATGCAAAACTATGATAATAGTCGGACTAAGTACTAGGAGCTTGTTGGAGTGCCGATTGTGAATGTTTTATGATTGGAGGTGTTCAGACAGTGCATCTCAAGTTATTCTAAAATTGGACAGCACCCCACCACACTTGGAGAAATACAGCTTTAGATTAGAAATCTATCATCGGTCTACCCAATCAAAACCTTTGTGATGTAATGATTTTACCTAGTGATCCTCAACTCCTGCTTAAGATGTGCACTGTCTTGCTTACGTACTTAGCAATTCCAACTAGTATTTTGAAAAGGATGTTGTTGGTTAGTTACAGAGCCAGCCAAAGCTTTTTAGCAAAGGATGTGCTTGTCCTGCCGAATGGAGATATTTGTGAAGAATATAATTTGTTGTCTTCCTTTTGTAATTCCAATGCTATATAAGTGAGTAGAACTAGAGCTCAAGAAATTGAAATAACGAAGTCATGTCCATTTTCAACCAGAAGATTAAATGCTACTCTTTAAAGTAGCCCCTCCGCCCCAGCCTTTTCTTACTTTATTTCACACGCATTTAGCTAAATCACTGCCAAGGAAGGTAAAAAAAAGTTTCTCAGAGTGCCCCACGCCTAAGCAAACTGTGACCTTGAACTATTGCCTAGCCTCTGCCTGTAGGCTGCGGTCCCTGAAGCCAGCTACGCAATGAAAAACTAAATTAAAAAAAAAAAAAAGAAAGTAGAAAGTTTTGGAACCTAGGTTTATATTCAGGTGAAGAAATAATAAGCTCTAAATCCTGAAAGCATGAACCATGAAAATTATTGAAAATCTTCAGATAACGAATCAGAACGAGTAATTACAGGAAGCTAGCTGAGGCTCTGCTAAGCTGTTGGTCTTGGGACCCTCCAGAAATACAGGCCCACACAGTTTTCAAGTTTGTTTTTTTTAAAGAAATTAGCTTCCAGTGCATTAAAAATTATCATATTTTACAATAAAATTTCTCAAGGTTTCTAGCTTCTCTGAAAAATTAGAAATACTGTATTTTACCACCAGAGACATTTGTTCCCACATTTTTATATTACTAAAAATTTTTGTATTACTGTCAAATAATTGGCTGCATTTTTTCTTAATAATACATAAAATAAGAATGTTTTATTAATGGCTTTCATTAATGGGTTTCTCATATTTGAAGAAATGTGATATTAGGGTAATTCTTGTCCCAACTCCCACGTGTCAACGGTTTTCTAGAGCCAAATAGAGGCTCTTTAAATGGCCAGCTTTATCCATTAGTGATGTCCACTAGTTTTCAAGACATTTCAGTTTTGATTCCTGCTCTCTATAGGGGAACTAGTGACCTTATAAGCCAATTTATAGACAGCTAGATTGCTTCCAATTTGAAAGTGTTCTTATATGTATCTTTTTAGGGACCCATGCAAAGATTTCCTCTGAGAAATATACCGAGGGGTGGGGTTGCAGAATCATAGGGTCTATGTATAATTTCCCTATGCACTGTCAGACTTCCTTCCTTCCTCCCCCCTCCTCCCTTCCTTCCTTCTTTTCTTTTCTTTTCTTTTTAAAAGATTTTATTTATTTACATTTAGAGAGAGAAGGGAAGGGAGGGAGAGAAACATCAATGTGCAGAAGATACATGATCCGTTGCCTGTTGCACACCCCCAACTGGTGACCTGGCCCGCAAACCCAGGCACTGACCAGGAATCGAACCATCAATCTTTCAGTTTGCAGGTTGGCACTCTATCCACTTAGCCACACCAGCCAGGGCATGTCACCAACTTTCTAACTTTCCAATCTGAAGGTATATTTTAGCATCCCATTGTTTCCGTCTTCATTTTTCTGATTTTGAATGAGTTTGATTACCTCATGCTATTTTTGTTAATCATCTGGATTTCAGTTTCTGTGTACTTTCTGTTTACATTTTTGCCAACTTTTCCATATTAATTTTGTTTCTGAATGCTAGGAGTTCCTTATATATCTAGGTATTAGTCTTTTGTTGGTTTTATATTGGAAGTTTCTTCTCTGAATGTTTCTGTTTACTTTATCAATGGTGTTCTTCACTTGCTGAACTCTGTTCTAATATTTGTGAGTTTATTCTACTGTGTTTTCTAAATAGATGATCATTGGCACATAATGAATTTTATTTCCTCCTTTTAACCATTCCAGTTTTTACTTCTCTTTATTAAAATATTTATAAAGATCTCTTGTACCATGTTAAATAGTAGCAGTGATAGCAGACATCCTAGAGATGTGTTTGGGATCTTAAAGAGAATACTTTTAATGTTACCTTCCCAATTTGGCCCACTGTGTCCACCTTATATAAAATAAATACCTTTCACACGCATCTATACATATCTTCATATACTTTACCGTGTTTGGCATTTTCTTTTTCTTTATTGAGTAATTGTCACCTTCTAATAAACTATATAATTTGTTTTTAAAATTGTGCTACTTACCATTTGTCTCCTGCCAATGGTTCTATAAGGGCAAGGATCTTTGTTTTGTCATTGATATGTTCTAAGCATGTAGAAGAATGTTTGGTACATGGTAGATACTCAATAAAAATTTGCTGAAATGAATGAATTTCTCTGTTAAGTATGGTGTTCATTACAGCATTTTGATCTGTAGCTTTTATCAAGGAAGGAGTTTCCCTATAACTCTTAGTTGAGCGCTTTTAATATCAAATGTAGAACTTTATCAAGTGCTTTTTCTGCACATAATGAAATAAATATGATTTCCCTCTTTAATTCAATAATAAATGATTTACATTTATACATTTTCCTGTTGTGAAACAATACTTATGCTTCTGGGATAAGCATTTCTTGATCATGTTCATTATACATGATTGGCTTTGGAGATCTAACGTAGCTAGGCTTTTCAAACCTGTGTTGAGAAATAAATAGGACTCCTTATCTTGTTATAGCATCAAGTTAGTCTAGCCTCATAAAATAAGTTGGCAGCTTTCCCTCTCTTTCTAGTTTCTGAAACAACTTGTATAACAGGGACTATATCTTCCTTGACAGATTGGTAGAACTCATAAAATTAGGCTTGAAGCTTTAGGGGAGGAGGATGAAGGTAATCTCTTTGACTGTTTTTTAATGTTTTAAATAGTTACTGGTCTATTCAGATTTTCTGATTTTTTTTGTGACAGTTCTGGCATTTTTCTGTTTGTTCATTTTTTAGAAAGACATACTTTACCTAGCTCTTCAAACTTATTACCATATGTTTGCTTATAATATATTTTTTTAAAGTCTCCATGGTATCTGTGTTATTTTTTCTTATTCAGTCATCTCTCCCCCCGCCCCTACTGTGTTTCCCATTGACTTCTTCCTTTGTATTTCCTGTGCCTTCTTTGGGTTTGCAATGATGCATTTTTTTCAAATATCTTGAATGCTTAGCTTATTTGTTTTCCATCTCTTATTCTCTCTTCTTGTCAAATAAATGTATTTGAAACTGTAAGTTTCCTTTTAAGTCTTATCTGTATTTCTCAAATTTTGACTTTTTATCTTTTATTATTTCACTTTATTTATAATTTTTTTAACCTAAGCGTGATTTATCAGTATGTCTTTATTGTCTTTACTCTCTCAACATAATGCTATATACTTTTAAAATTATCCTTTTGTTTTTATTTAGGGTATTCTTTTTTTAAATGAACTCTAGCAATAATTCAAAGGATGTCTTCCTTTGCTCATCTTTAAAGTTACAAATAGCTGTGGCTGGTGTGCTCAGTGGATCAGCACCAGCCTGTGAACCAAAAGGACACCAATTTGATTCCCAGTCAGGGCACATCCTGGGTTGCAGGCCAGGAGTCCCATTGGGGGTGGGCGAGAGGCAACTGGTATTTCTCTCACACATCGATGTTGTTCTCCCTTACTTTCTCCCTTCCTTCCCCTCTCTCTAAAAAATAAATAAGAAAAATCTTTAAAAAGTTATAAATATAATAAGTTGAATCAAAGGTGTTATTGGTTATAAGGTACATTATTTTATGTACTAAGAAAGAAAAATAAGTTCAGATTAAACTATAACAAATAATTTATCAGTTAGAATTTTTATTTTGTACTTATTGACAGAGTTCTTTTAAACATATTCAGGCATATAGACTTATCGTGTGTCTTTGCTAACATAAAAAGGAATCTATGTGTATGAGATACAATTGTTAATGTTTTTCTAAAACTTCACAACTGCCACTTGGCCACTGCAGTTGTAAATTGTTCCTGGTTGGAAAGTGCATCCAAAATCCAAAGATGTTAAAATGTAAAAGAATATGTAGATCTTAGAACCAATGAAATGACAATTTTTAATATCAAGTGTCAAAAGCTATTTATTTTTTGTACACCAGTGGGAGTTATCTATATGGGCATTACATCATGACTCCCTTAATTTCTCTGAGAGATATTTAAATAAATTATTCTGATTTCAGGAAATCAAAACATTCTGCATATGAAGTGTAAAAGAAACAAGTTAATTTTTTTAATGGTAGATCCCAGGGTTGATAATTATTGCATGCAAATTGAATCAACAGATTATACCAGTAAAGACATTCTTGTTTTTTTCTTCTCTTTTTAAGGCAAAAGCAACAACAATCAAAGAAGCCCTAGCCAGATGGGTGAGTGCATGAGCTTTTACTTGTAGAAACTATACAAGGAGAACTTTTAGATAGTTATTTAAATCTGATCATTCAGTAAAAGGGATCTTTGTGGTATTGGAACTATTTAGCTATCTTGACTGTGGTGGTAGATACATGAGCCTGCACAAGTGATAAAAATGTATAGGACGTAATACACCCATACAAACACATTCACACTCATATGTACAAATGAGTACAAGTAACATTGGGAAATCTGACTTAAATCAGTGGATTGTACCAGTATTAATATTCTGATTGTGATATACTTAGAAAATATTAGGCAGCATATACTGTTAACTAAATTTTGAATTATGTTCTTAGTACCAAAATTAAACTCTAGGTAGAATTCAGTAGTAAATTACTGTAGAGCAAATAGTTTTGACCTCAGCTGTGTTGTAAAAAGTATTATCTCCTAAAATTCTTGGTATTTTGGGGTTGTAGCTCAGACTGGATAGTATATAGAAAAAGATGAGGTTGAAGAAAAACAGTTGATCTTACATATCTGAATCTGATATTTAAGGAAAGGTTGTTTCGGGACAAGGAATTCTTCCCAGAAAAATGTTTTTGTTGTTGTGTTTGCTTATGTTTATTAACTGATAGGCTTTTAAGGGATTTTATATATTACATAAATTATTTTCTTTCCTTCATTGTTTCCATTTGGTTGGGCCCTAACATTGAATTATCTTAGTCGGTTGTGTAGAAGCCTGGTTATGAGTCCATAGTAAAGGTCAATAAGTGAACTGCAAAGAATGCACAGAATTACTAAATTCTTTTTTTTTTTTATCCTAGTAATTGTTTTGAAATAAGGATTGAAAAGCCTGATGAAATTCTGACCTCCTTTAACTCCACGTTGCAATCAAAGATCATTTTCTTCCAAATTAATTTTTATTACAGGAAGAGAAAACCAGTCAGAAGCCATCTGAAGCCAAAGAGATAAAGCTTTATGCCCAGATTCCCCCTATAGAGAAGATGGATGCATCCTTGTCCATGCTGGCTAATTGCGAGTAAGTTCTCGTCTTTATTCATCCTTCTAGTTGCATAAACAGCTAAAGAATTATTCCCTCACCATATTCCCAGATTTAAGGGACTCAGTTTTTCACTAGCAGTTCTCAGTAGTGGGAGATGACTAGAAGATATACAGATTTGATCAGTAATTTACACTGCACAGTAATTTACTTTGCTGTTTCAAGTAAAAAGATGAATAATTCCTCTTCAAGTCAAAACAGAAAGGAAATGGTCAAGTGTGACTAGGAATGTGTAATTATGCTCCCTTTAAATATTTGTTTTATATAATTAAAGTATGCATAGGAAAATATAGATAAATATATACAAACTATTAAAAGTAAGTATCTCTTGAGGAGTGTGTGGGGTGGTTAGGATTACATATGATTTCTTACAATACAGATTTCTGAATGCTTTAACACATGAAAAAATAATATCTCCATTCTTGTGTGTGTGTGTGTGTGTGTGTGTGTGTGTGTAGTTCTGCTTTTTACAAAAATGGATCATATAAAATGTATTATTCTGCTAGGTGGTTTTTAAACTTAACTACATATCATGAACATCTTCTCAAGTTGACATCTATAGCCCAATCTCATTTTAGTCATAGCATAGTATTCTTCAGTGAGGGATGTTTATAGATATTTTTCCCCCATTTTTGTTATTGCAATAATACAGTCAATAATGTAGTTTATACAACTTTTGGCATTTGCATTAGTATTTCAGTAGGATGTATTCGTAGAAAATGAATTACTGGGTCAAAGAACATATGCATTAAAATATTTGGTAGATGACATCAAATTGCCCTCAAAAATGTTTTTAAAAAAATTTTCTACTCATTAATGAGTATATATTAACCTTTGTAATCAGAAAAAACTATGAAGATTTCAAAATGAAGGAATACATGCCATGTCTGAAGGGAATAAAAGGATTCGGTGTCAAAAGGAAGTATGACTTAAATATTGTTATCTTTTATGGGCACAGGAGAAATAATTTCTGATATACCATTTAAAAGTTTTTTATATTAATTCAAGTTTTTCTTTGTTCTTTTTAAGGAAGCTTTCACTATCTACAAACTGCATTGAAAAGATTGCCAACCTGAATGGCTTAAGTAAGTGATCCACAATAACAGATGGTTCTTGGATTTTCTAGTTATTGAAATAAACATTCCAGAGACACTACGTAATCCCAGAGGCTCACACCTGTTTTAACCACAGTACTTGTCAGATGACAGAGAGAGACCTGAACATTTTAAAGATACTTAAAGTTTTTATAGACTTAGAATTGAGATATCTTAAATAAAAAATCAGATTTTTAAAATATATTTTATCAGATTTATCTTGTGTTTCATACTGGTTATATTTAAAATTAAATTTCTCACCATCCTTGTTTTTCCTGTGCACTAACAAATGTTAACGACGTTGCCACCTACCCAGGGGCCAAGGCCTCCGACTCCTGTGCTAGTTTCCGACGGTTACTGAAACTTGATGGCTTAAAACAACAGAAATTTGTTCCCTCACAGATCTGGAAGTCAGAAGTATGAAATCAGTTTCACTGACCAAAATCAGGGTTTTGACAGAGCCACACTCCCTCTGGAGGCTTTAGGGGAGAATTTGTTCCTTGCCTCTTCTAGATTCTAATGGCTGCCACATTCCTTGGCTCGTGACCACATCACTCCAATTTCTGCCTCTGTAGTCATATTGCCTTCTCCTCTTGTGTCTATGTCAAGTCTTTCCTTTTTGAGGATACATGTGATTGCATTTATGGAACACCTGGATACTTGAGGATACTCTCCCTATCTTAAGATCCCTAACTTATTCACATCTGTGAAGTACTTATTCCCCATATAAGGCAACACTCACAGGGTCCAGGGATTAGGAGGTACATGTCTTTTGGTGAGCCATCATTTCTCCTACCATATCCCCCCTTTACTTCCCTCAAGCCCCACATCCAAGTTCATCACAAGTCCTGTTAACTCTACTCTTTGAAAGAGCTCTCAAATAATATGTTGCTTTAAAAAAATATATGTTTTTTACATTTAGAAAGTGGTGGGGGAGAGAGAGAGAAGAGAGAGAAACACTGATTGGTTGCCTGCCATACGGGATTGAATCCGCAACCTAGATGTGTGCCCTGAACGGGAATTGAACTATCAACCTTTTGGTGTCGGGGACAGTGCTCTGACCAACTGAACCACTCCAGCTAGGACAATATGTTCCTTTTTTATAAATTCTAGGAGCTAGAGCTTTAATTTAAACTCTAATCATCCCCCTTAAATGGTACTTAAGAAACTTTTTTTTACTTAAATATTTTTATTGTATTTTTTCCCAAATGTTTAAAAAGATTTTATTTATTTTTAGAGAGAGGGGAAGGGAGGGAGAAAGAAAGGCAGAGAAACATCGATGTGTGAGAGAAACATAGATCGGTTACCTTTCCTATGCCCCCAATCAGGGATGGCTATAACCTAGGCATGTGCCCTGACTGTGAATTGAACCAGCAACATTTTGGTTCACAAGACGACACCCAGCCCATTGAGCCACACCAGCCAGGGCTAGCAAATGGTTTTGACTGCTTTCCACAGTAAATACATTTGAATTTATGATTCAGTACATATATGTATTCATATGAATACACAGATCAAATATACACATACACATATGAATTGGAATCAAGTTGGTTAAACATTTACCTTTATAGCATAGGCTCCAGTATAAATTTTTAAAATTCTTTTTTATTGTTTTAGATGTTTGTCACAACCCACTAAGTTGATTTCACACACAATTTGAAAAACACTGCCTTAAGACTTTTGTAATAGCCTCCTAATTGATCTCCTTTTCTCTTTCTGCTCTTCATTTGACCTTCAGCACTGATATCAGTTTTCTTTCTAAAAATATTATTCTCATTACCATTTCTCCAGATCAAAGACCTTAATGGCTCTCCTTTGCCTAGTAAAGACCACTTGCCTTAATGTTGCATTCAAAGTCATCTAAAAGCTTATACCACACTATTCACACCAAAACACATCATTCTTTTTTATGACTCTGCACTTGTTAATGCAGCGCTTTTCATTGAGAACAGCCCCCTCCTCTAACAGGAAAACCCTACAAAAAAAACCAAAATTAATATTAAGAATGCCAAGTGTAAATGTCATTTCTCCCTCTAAAGACTTCTCTAATCTCCACCATCATAATTACTCCTTCTTTGCAAACATTTAAACAGACCTATCTTGAACTATAATAATAATTACCTACTTCATAACTATTGTTAATAATAAATGAGTTAGTGTATATAAAATACTTAGAATAGTGCCTGGTACATATAAATGCCCATTTTTAAAGTAGGCGAGGACTATGTTCTGTCTCTTTAGATAATGAACTCCTTGGGGGCAAGCATTATGTTTAATTAATCTATTTATCTCCTATGCCAAATCTTCATCTTCCTTAATACCTTATATAATGGTGGAGAGGAAATGTTTTCTGTTAAAACTGTATATAAGGTGACTCAATCTATTCTAATTTTTCAGCGACTCATTAGAAAATGTGAGATGTTTCATTTCATTCTTTTCTTTGTAATTGAAATAACTTTCTTAAATGAGACAAAATTGATAACATTTATCAATACAGATGATGTACTTTTTTCATAAAAACATGACTATGATTATAGTGAAAATGGATAACCTATATAGGATTGGCAATGCATTTTAACTAGTATTCTAACTCTATTCAGTTGATAATGACTCTAAGGAAAATTGTATTAAAAGCGTTCCCAAAATTCAGTGGATAAGAGTACTTTAATCAGTTATTGATGTCTGCCATAGACATGGAATGAGAGAGTGTAGGCATTTGTACCATGTGTTTGTTATACTTGCTTCATCTCATTTTAGTTCTGCTTGTAACGAATGATACTTCTGCAGTCTGTGGTCAGCGAAAACACTTTACCTGTGATTAGGAGGCAAAAAGAAGCCAACTGATCCATATGAAGGATTGAATATATGACCCTGGCTTGCCTCCCACCTCTTTCCCTTATGAGCACTGTAGTCTTACCTTTAGGCTATGGTGAGAGGATCTGAAATACATAGGTACTACTGTTTAACAGGAGCTTTATAAGGCAGAATAACCATATGGCAATTTCTATTTATTGTACCAAAACTGTGCCGGGAAAACTGTATGACATCACTATGTTCAAAACTGTAACTGAAAAGCTGTACAGTGTGAATATTAATCTCATGTTAAAGATTAGAACATAAATTTTGTTGCCTTGTGTTTTTGGTAAAATACTTTACTCCTTTATTTACTAAAAAAATAAACATATAACTTTAAGACACTTTTTCTCATTTTCATCAGGACCTGGATAAAGAAAAAGTCCTTTCTGCTTTGGCCAGGTTGCTTATTTGGTTAGTGTCACCCTGATACACCAAGGTTGTGGGTTCGATCCCAGGTCAAAGCACATACAAGAAGCAACCAATGAATGCATAAATAAGTGGAACAACAAATTGATGTTTCTTTCTCTCTGTCCACTCTCTAACAAAATAATTAATTAATTAATTAAAAAATAAAATTCTTAAAAGAAAATGTGTTTTCCTTCTAGTGGTGCTCTACTATGGAAAAATATATAATTATGTTATGTAGAACACTTAATCTATTAACTTTGATATTATCATTTATTTCCCTATACAGCAATAAATAAGATCTTTTTAGACTTTTCATACCAGTTTCATGTGCACTTTTTTAAAAAGGAGTTTTTATATGTTAAGTTAGATACTATCTTGAAAGGTGGCATATATTTGTTATCTCCAATTTCTGAGGTCATTTATCAGTCCTCATCTTAGATGACCTTTAGTATACTTTGCTAAATGGATCCATACTTTGTTAAATTATCCATACTTTGCATGGATGATTTCTTTCCTCTTTGAAGCAATTTCAGTATTTGGCTTCTTGGACACTATACCCTCCAGATTTCCTCCTACCTTTCTGGCTACTTCTTCCCAGTCTCATGTCCCTAACTTTTAAATGTTGGGGTACCCCAGGATTCAATTTTTGGATCTCTTCTCTTTTCTGTCCTCACCTACTCCCTAGATTGATTATCATTCCAAATCATGGCTTTCCCATCTATCCGTATGCTGACGGCTCCCAAATTTATATCTCTAGCCCAGGTGTCTCCTCTGATCTCCAGATTCACACATCTAGTTGCCTGATATTTCCCTTAAATGTCTAGTAGACATCTCATACTTCACGTGTGCAAAAGTCCTAATACCCTTCAGCAGCCCCAGCTAAACCAACTTATGTGTCTATCTTAGTGACAAGTCCATTCTTCCAGCTGCTTAGGCCAAACTCTTTGGTAATTTCTTGACTCTTCATACTTCCTCTATAAAAGGCCTATTATCTTTCTAATTTCATCTCTATTAGTCTCCTCTCATTGTTCCAGCTAGTTTCTTGTGTTTTGTGAACATTTTTAATGTGGTCCTGTCTCATAGCCTTTACACTTGAAGTTCTGTTTGCCTGTTAATGCCCTTCCTCCATCTGTCCTCATGGCTAGCTGCCTCACTTCCTTTGAGTCTTTACTTAGAAGTTACCATCTATCTAAAATGTCAGCTGCCCCTAACCCCCTGACATTTCATTCCTTTTATCTGCTTTTTCTTTTCTCTTTCATGCTTGTCACTATCTAATGTACTTATTTTGTTTACTAGCTGTTGAATGTTCTATGACAGTAGGATTTTTATCTGTATTATTCACTATTATATTGCAAGTGCTTAGTGCTGTTCCTGGCATATAGTAGATGCTCAATAATTATGTATTGAATAACTTTTTGAATAAGCATTTTATCCTGCATGAAATAGGAAAAAAAATGGAATGGTAATATTTCCATATGAAGAAACTATGAAAAATAATTGTGTGATTTTCTTCAATATTTAATTTTCACACATTTTATAATTGTATGGATTTATTAGTTTACTAGAGCTGCCATAACCAATCCCATAACAGGAATTTATTTTCTCAGTTGTGGAGGCTGGAAGTCTCAGATCAATGTCAGCAGGATTGATTTCTTCTGAGGCCTCTTCTCCCTGGCTTGTGGATGGCCATCTTTTCCTTTATCTTCACATGGTCTTTCCTGTCTTTCTGTCTGTGTCCTATCTCCTTTTATAAGGGTACCAGTCATATTGGATTTCACCTAAAATGATCTCAGTCTACCTAATTACCCCCTTTAAGGTCCTGTTTCCAAATAGATTCACATTTTGAGGGACTAGGGGTTAGAACTTCAACATATGCATTTTGGAGGGACCCGATTCTGCCTATAACACAGAGTCCTGTTTCAATAGTTAAATCATTTTGCATGAATTAGATCACTCTTAAAATTCCTTGTTCTGAAAGTTAAATATGCCCTGACTTCTGTGGCACAGTTGGTTGGGCATCATCCCACACAGTAAAATGTTGTAGGTTTGATTCCTGGTCAGGACACATGCCTAGGTTGCAGGTTTGATCCCTGGTCAGGGCACATACAAGAAGCAACTTACCAATGTTTCTCTTTCAAATAGATGTTTTTCTCCCTCTCTTTCCCCTTCCCTTCCCCTCTCCTTAAAAATAAATAAATAAAATGTTTTTTAAAAAAAGTTAAATGTTTCTCATAAGAGAATTTAAAATAATTTATTAAATAAATTAAAAGCAACATTTATATAACTATATATGCCTGATACACACCCCCCCATTTATTGTATAGTTACCATGGATAAAGCATTAGGCTGAATGTTTTAGACAACTGTCTCAATCCGTACGTCCTTATAAACTAGATATTATATCACCTCATTTTTCACATGAAACTGAGATTCAAAGAGGTGTGGTTGCTTCTCTCGAGAGTTAGAATTGGAGCTCAGTTAATTGGTAATTTATGCATATTACAGAACAGTGCCACTCAATAGAACTGTCTGCCCTGTCCCAAAACAGTTGCCGTTAACCATATGTGGCCATTAAAATTCTTGATGTGAGGCTAGTGTGACTGAGAAACTGAATTTTAATTGTATTTCATGTTAATTAAGTTAACTAGCTATGTAGCTAATAGCTACCATATTGTACAGTATAGTTATAGAAGTTTAAGTTGTGAAAACCAAATGTATAACTTATGCATAAGTAATCACAGTAGTTTTTTAGAACAGAAATGAGATTTCCTGTGTTTTACTAGAAATCTTTTTTTAATTTTGAAAAATAATACATGCTCATGGTTTTATGCAAATAGTTCAAAAGTTTACAATGTAAAATGTCTTCTTCTGACCGTATATTCTCAGTTCCTCCCCCAAAGTAACCGCTGTTTCTTCTTTCTTTTTTCTCTTCCAGAAATAGCCTATATTATATACAAATAGAAACATCATTGTAATAAATACAAATAATTATCTTTTAAACCAAATCACCATCTACTCATTTGAAAGATTGGAGGCAAAAGATTTTTAAAATTTTAATTCATTTGATTTCACTTCTAATCCTTTGTGGAATGGGGTATACTATACATAAATATATTTGTTTTCTAGTCTGAGTCCTTATACTATAAGAAATTTGAAATATATATATATATATATATATATATATATATTCTCAAGTCTGAAGTTCCTATCTTCTTTACTCTTATTTATTCTTCTCATATTTACTAGCCCGCAATTTAAGACCATGCATTCCAAATAGGTAACGATTTTTAAATTTTATATTGGCATGATGTGAAATTATAGTTGCAGTGTTTACCTTAGATGACAGGTCAATGATATTTCCTACTTGATTACCACTTTTTATTAATACAGTCTTTCTTACTCATTATATAAGAATATTTATATAAAATTTATTAAAACCTTATTATTCTAGATTTATAATTAAGTAATATGATTCTCATAAACAACAAATTGCTTTCTTTCCACTACAGAAAACTTGAGGATATTGTCTTTAGGAAGAAACAACATAAAGAACTTAAATGGACTGGTAGGTTGCTATTTATTACTTTAAAAAAGCATACACTTTTTTCTTAGTATAAAAATAATACTTGTCCATTGCAGAGACTTTACAAAGTAGAAAAGCAATGATAAAAAGTACCTATAAGCCACTGACAATTTAAATACTGCTAACATTTTGATTGACATCTTCCTTGACTTTTTTTCCTGTTCTTCAGTGGGTATGTAGAGAATGAAATCATACTATACTTATTGTTTTGTATCTCTTTTTTTACTTGATATGTAAAGATTATTTTTCCATGTCATTCATTCATTCAACAAATTAATTCAATAATATTTCCGGTCTACTTTAAGCCAGGTACTGTTCTAAGCACTTAAGATACAGCAGAATGAGTATAAAATGAAATATTTGCTGCCATAGAACTTACATTACAGTGGAGGGAGACAGACTAGAAAATAATTGTATAATACATAAGGTAGTGATGAATACAGTGAAGAAAACAAGGTATATAGGAGAACACAGAGTGATGGGAAGTCCTCTCTGGAAGAGAGGATGTAAATTATAGAGCTGACCAAGGGATAAGAAATTCAGGCTGAGGTGAGACAGCAAGTGCAAGTGCCCTAAAACTGAAGCTGAAAACAAAAGAGTTGAAAGAAGGAAGAATTGTCCTCAATGATGTTGGCGAGTAAGCCAGGAACCAGGAGGTCATACTGAGCCTTTTATGTCACGATAAAGTTTTAGATTTTTTTCCAAATGGCTTGCAAAGCCATTGGAGGTTTTTCATCAGAGGATGTGACTTAAGTTTTTAAAATAATTTTCAGTGATATCCCTTTTTTATGACAGTATAATAATCTATTTGATTGATGTACCATAATTTATTAAATTCAGTTACTTGTTGCCCTGGCCAGGTAGCTTAGCTGGTTATAGCATTGTCTTGATACACCATGTTTGCAGGTTTGATCCTCAGTCAAGGCACATACAAGAATCAACCAATGAATGCATCAATAAGTGGAGCAACAAATTGATGTTTCACTCTCTCCCCCTCCCTTCCGGCTCTCTCTAAAATCAATAAATTACTCAATAAATAATTACAATAAATAAATAAATCAGTTACTTATTATTCCTTATTTATTTCCAGTTTGGAGTTATTATAATCAATAGTGTTATGAATCCCCTTTTAGCTATATTATTGTACACATCTATGAATAATTCCTTGAATAAATTCCTTGAAATGGAATTGCTGGGTCAAAAGGTATGAATTTAAGGTCTTTATGACATTTCATTTAATTAGCATTTGGTAAGTTTGTAATACTTTATACTCCTACCTGTAATATATGAGGGTTCCCATTTCCCCTTACCAACCTTGGAAATTTAAAACTTTCTGAAGTTTTTTACAGTGGAGTGAAGAGGGCCATATATTTTTATTTATATATTTACTGGCCATTTGAATTTTCTTGCAAAGAAGCTGAAAGGAAACAACATTGTAATACTAAGAAATTTCAGCAAAGATGAAGCTGATTTCTTTTTCTTGTGTCTGTAACCAAAAGAAAATAATTTTTAAAAGTATTTATTATTGAATAATTCATAAACATTCTGAAATTTTCTATGCCTCTGGCCTCCTTCCCCACCTTCCGATAAGTAAGTCCAGCTGTGCTTCATAAGAACCAGTGCGGTTGAAACTGCAGTGCTTCCTAACAAGTACCTCTCAAGGTGAGAGAGGCTGAAATGACCATCCCCCATTACAGGAAGAACTATTATGCCTAAGTAGGTGTCAGTGTTCAAGAAGTAATTTTGGAATTATCTTGAATGATCTGAATAATACTCCTACTTCTACATGTATACTTACATAACGATTTACTAATGAATTTATAAAATGCTCGGAAATTCTTTTTTTGTATATAATTATTTTTAATCCTCTCCTGAGGACATTTTTTCACTGCTTTTTAGAGAAAGAGGAAGGGAGAGAGAAATGCTGATGTGAGACAGAAGTATCGGTTGGTTGCCTCCTGTAAGTGCCCAGAATGGGGATCATAGGTGCCCAGACTGGGGATTGAACCCACAACCTAGGTATGTGCCCTGACCGGGAACTGACCCCACAACCTTTTGGTTACGGGATGATGTTCCAACCCACTGAGCCAGCCATACTGGCCAGGGCAAAATGCTTGGAAATTCTTAGAGATTACATTCTAAAATAAAGGAAGTTTTCCCCTCCAAAACGATAACCATTAAATGAATTGTTTGCTTTCTAGTTAGGTATGATGAGTAAATATTTAATGATCTATAAAAAAATGTTTTTGGTGTTCTAAATGATTGATATATTTAAAAATATTTTGCTTTCTTCTCTACATTCTCTGAGTGTAGATGGTAAAAAATGTCAAATATAGGGACATTATTGATAATAAAAAAATATTATAGTACAAAAAATAAGAATTTACTATTCTTCAAACTAAATATGATTTTGAATTATATATAAAGGAAGAATTTGCAAATAAATGTATCCCAGAGTTTTTAGGATCAATTTGATAGAGAAGCTTAATATTCCTTCGGGTATTTTCAGAATACCAGATTGTCAAGTATTGCTATAGTATATAATTTCTCCCATGAAATGTAATATATACCTAGAAACTGCAAAGAAATTATAAATATAAGATTAAAGACATGTATGGAGATATTATGTAGCTGAACCATCACTTGCTTAGATCTCTTCACTTTCTATATACTATCAATAACACCCAACCGTTGTTTTTCTTTCCAGGATGTGTGTCTATGTGTGTATACATACATGCATACATACAGCAAAAACAACATTTTATCAATCCAAAAGCTTTACTACCTATGCATAGGATAAAGAAAAATAAATCAGCTTAGGAATACAAATGCTGGGCTTCAAATAGGTTCACATACTAACTGATTTATTCATCTAGATGCAGCAGTCTTGTGGCATGATTTAAACAGCTGCCTCAGTAAGTTAAACATGACCACTCTAACCTGTGAACCATCAAATTGAATGAAAGGGGTCTATGTAAAACTACTGGAAAACCAACTGTTAAGGTCCATTATAAACCCATTTGTATAGATGATCTGGCTTCTGCCTTCCTTTTGGATCTCATTTCATAACTACTCTTCTTCCTAGCTGGTCATCTCCAGCCACTGGCTGCCTTGCTCTTCCTAGAACATGCCAAGTCCATCCTGCCACCACCCCCCGCCCTGCCCAGGACATTTGCACTTGCTTTTTCCTAGCCTAGAAATCTTTGTTACTCTGGACTTCCACATTACTGGCTCCTTACTTGACCTCAGATGTCACCTGCTCAAAAGTGACCCAACTACCCTATATCTAATGTAGTTCCCTAGGCAACAACTCTCTCTCTATATCTATGTCTACGTCTAAGTCTATATCTATTTCAACTTTCTATCTGAAATTTTTATTGGTTTGCTCTTCTCCCGCTTGCTTGCCCACCCTCTCTGTCACGTACACAAATCCTAATGAGCAGGTCAGTTTTGTTCTTCAGCATCTACATTAGTGCTTGATACATGTAGTAGGCATTCTATAAAGATTTATTGAGTGACTCAATACATTATATTAATTATAAAAACTGTTAGGTTAGCCCTAACTGGATGCCTCAGTTGTTTAGAACGTCATTCCGTACACCAAAAGCTGCAAATTCAATTCCTGGTCAGGGCACATGCCTGGGTTGTTTGTTCAATCCCCTGTTGGGGTGCCTAAGGGAGGCAGCCAATCGATGTTTCCCTCTCACATCGATGTTTCTCTTTCTCTCAATCAGTGGGCATATCCTTGGATGAGGATTAAAAAAAACAAATTACTAGGTTAAAGTTTTAATTCTAAGGGTTATGTATGTTAATTGTCAAAAAACAAATAAATTCATAAATATATGAAATACACTGTGAAAGCCTTTTTTCTTCCTACCTCCCCAACTCCATGAGTAACAGAAATAATATTGTTTAATATACTTTAATATTTTTCTGTGCAAATACAAATAGATGCCTGTATATATGTATATGCATGTGTGTGTATGTTACATATGTTTGTACTATGATATACAAGGTCATACGTTTTTTCTTATTTTTCACTCAATACAAGGGTAGGCAAAAATAGGTTGATAATAATAAATAATACAATATTTAATAAATAAATAATAATACAAGAATAAACTGTTTCACATACTCACAACTGTAAACCTACTTGTGCCCACCCCTGTGTATGAGGAATATTCTTTTATGCCAAAACATGCATATTTAATGCATTCTTGTATTTTTTAATTTTCTTTTTAAAATGTATTTAAATTAAATTTTATTTTATTTTAAATCATGTTTATTCTACTACAGTTGTCTGTTTTTCCCCCTTTGCCTCCCCGACCCATCTCCCCCTACCCCCTGCCCCGCTCCCACAGTCAATTCCCACTCCGTTGTCCATGTCCATGGGTCCTTCATACATGTTCTTTGTCTAGTCCCTTCCCCTCTTTCCACCATTGTCCTCCTTCCCTGATTCCCTCTGGTCACTTTCGGTCTGCTCCATGTCTCCATGCCTGTGGTTTATTTTGTTCATTAGTTTATCTTGTTGAATAGCGCATTCTTTTAAAATAGCTGTACAGTTTTCTCTAGTATCAATATACAAGTTTGATCCGAGTCTCTTCCCTTTTTAAGGATGAATAATATTCTGTTGTGTGTATATACCATATTTTGTTTATTCCTTTATCCACTGATGGCACTTGGGTTGTTTGCATCTTTTGGCTATTGAAAATAATGCTGCTGTGAACATGGTCATAAATATCTCTTTGAAACTCTTTTTTTTCAATTCTTTAGGTTAAATACCCAGAAGTGGGATTGCTGAATCATATTTCCAATTTTTGGAGGAACTGCAAAACTGTTCCATAGCCCCTGCACCATTTTAAATTCCCACCAATAGTGCACAAGGGTTCCAATTTCTCCATATCCTTGTCAGAACATCTTATTTTCTGTCTGTTTGATAGCAGCCATTGTAGTGAGTATGAGGTGGTCTCTCATTATACCAACCTCCTCATTTTATAGAGTAAGAAACTAAGGAGAAATTATTTGTTCACTTGCAGAAAGCAAACCAATTTGTTAAATGCCTATTCACTCAATGTCCAGTCCTCCAAAGGGCCAGTTTATTGAATGACAGGTTTCACTGAGTTGATTCACACAAACTTAGCCAGGTTTTACTGATTGATGTTCACCAGGTTGCTTCACCAAAATCGTCTTAAAAAAAAATATTGTCTTTATTACCTCCTTATAAATACATAGAAAATTGTGTTGCTTGGAATGGTTTCAACACCTTTTGAAATTTTCTTTAAGGTTTTATTTAGTGTTAATGTTAAGGCTGCTGTTTCATCCAGCTGTTGAATTTGTCAGTCCATCTTTGTAGAATGTCAGTTTCATATTTTAGGTACTAATCACTTCTCAAACTATTGAAACACATAAAACTAGTAATCTAATTGAGCTGGCTAGCAAATCCTTATCTTTAGGGAAATACAAAAGACAGTGGAATTGATTGAAAATATACTGAAAGACAGAACTACACCCTGGACATTCAAAATTGGTACATTTGTAAGTCAATATGCATAAGAAATTTTTGTTCCACAAAATCATATTCTCAAGTAAAGTCACCAAATGCACTGAAATTTTGTTGACAAAAGATCTAAATGGCTGAAAAATAAACTGAAACAAACTCTTCAAATGAGTGAACAAAGCATTACAACCTTCAAAGTTACCCTATTTAAAAGAATTTCTATCCTATCTAAATATAATAACTATAATTTGTAAGTAATTAAACAGTTTTTTGATAAATCAGTAAAAGAGTAAATGCAGCAAATTGGCTACTTGGAGAACTGCTCAATTGGCTCTATGAAAATTGACCAAGAGTCCTCATCTGCACATGGGAAAACAACACCAAATAAGTGGCAGAACCCAGAACTGAACCTAAATTTTCATGTCAGTATTTAATCAGTATTTTCCCTGCTACCTCACGCTTTCTAAATTGGAGACATGGAAGTGGTTGCAGTGCAATGAAAATCCATGCAATAAAGTTTAAATTATATGACAGCTGGTTCCCCTCTTCTGAAAGACATATAATAATTAGGTCATTTTGGTGGAGAAGATATCAGAATACTAGCTGAGGGGGTTTGGTTAAATCACAGGGTTCTAGATGAGTGCCAGGATGGACTGATTTAAAAGTTTCTTTTACTCTAAAACTGTTATTTCTTCTACTTAGAAAGCTGAAACTAAGATGAATTGTGGGAGTTGGGATGACACACAAAAGTAACTCAGGCAACTTCTTTCTCAGCTCCATCCCTTGGTTTCACCCATATGGAAAATGCATACATTGAGGATCTTTATCCAGGGTATATTTATTCTTTCTGTAGTTTTTGAAGGGATAGTTGCTTACTAGGACTAGGTGTGGGCTCCACACTCGAGACATTACCATGTGGTCGAAGGTAAATCTTTTTGGGTTAAGAGAGGATTGAATATCTAATTGATCCTGCCTAGTATATTTAAAAAAAAAATTTTTTTAAAGAATCACTACATTTTGTCTTATGTCTATAAAAGCAGGAAGTCCTTTTGCCACCATCGATTATAGCTATCATTTAAGAGTCAGTATGGTATAATATTTTTACTATAATGGAAAGACTGGGTTTTACATTGAATTGGATACATTTAAAAAATAAGATGAATTAATGGATAGCTAGCTGGATGGAAGATGGACAGATATTTGATAGGAAAGGTATAGTAAAATGTTAATAGTAAAATCTGGGTAGTAGATATATGGCAATTTACTTTAAAATTCTTTCAACTTTTTTTATGTTTGAAAGTTCCCATAATAAATATTTAGACTCAGCTCTACTATTTAGTAGCACTGTAATCTTAGAAAAAGCCCTTCAGTTTTCTGAGAGAAATCAAATAACCTTCTTTGCCTATCTTAAATATTATAAGGATAAAATAATAAAATATATAGGGAAGGGATTTGAAAACTATACTGTTCAAGAGAAGTGATAAAATAGTGCTGTTTTCCCTCTTGCTGATTTCAGCACCTATTCTTAGTTCAAATGAGTTTGAAGAAAGGAAGATAATGTTCTACTTGGTTTTCTTAATGACAAAATACTCCCACACACCTTTCAGCTCTCTTACCAGGAGACAGGTGGGTCTCAGTTCTCTCTGAAGACCGTTGTCTTTATGTTTATAAAGAAGAAAAAAAACTTAAAAATAAGCATGTATATCAAGTTCCTTTCTTTTTCAGGAAGCAGTAGGGGACACATTAGAAGAACTGTGGATCTCCTACAATTTTATTGAGAAGTTGAAAGGGATCCATGTAATGAAGAAATTGAAGATTCTCTACATGTCCAATAACCTGGTGAAAGACTGGGGTAAGCTGAGGTTGGCTCTTTGCTAACCTCTACTGCCTGTTTATAGAAAACAGCCCAGTAGGGAACAAGATGCAAAATGAGGACATTTATTTCTAAGCACAGAAGGGAGTACTCATAGCTGTAGGAGTCCCTATATTTCAGCTAAATGCTTGAAATTTGTTTAAGTATTTATGCAGAATGATTTTTATTGAATAGATCCTGGCCCTATTAATCATGAAAGAAGTTAAATTAATTGTCTAAAGCCTGGAAGAAATCAGTCTAAATTTAATAATGCTTATGTGGAAGACTTATGTATATTGCTTTGTTTTTTCATTGTATATTATTCACTCAGCATTTACTAAAGCCTTATTATGTGCCAATAATTATATACCAGGCTCTTGAGGTACATAGTTGAGTAGGACATTATCCTTGCCCTCAATGAATTCAGAGGTTAGTGGGGAAGGTTAGTTTATAAGCTAATAATTGTAAAACTGCGTGATAAATTCTACAGTATAGAGGCTCCAATGAGTTGCTTTAAGAATTCAAAATGAGGGAGGGAATGGGTAGAGGCAAACAGTTTAGCTTAGCCCATGCGGATGCAGTATAGCATAGGGAAGACCTGTCACTGGTGAATGATTTGTTCTTTTTTATTGTAAATCTCATTTCCTCCTCTTGTCCTATCTAAGGATAAAGGTAGCATAAAGGTAGAAGAGGTATGTCTTCTTTTTCCCTCCCTTTCTGTAATATTTTCAGAGAATTACTCTATGTGGTGGTCTAACTTCCCTTATTTCCTTCAAAACCTTAAACAACAAATTGTTCTGAATAGTCACAAACAGTAATATTGGAATTCAGCCCCCAGAATCAAACAGTAAAATCTGCCATTAAAAAAATGATTTTATTTATTTATTAATTTTTAGAGAGAGGGGAAAGGAGGGAGAAAGAAAGGGAGAGAAACATAGATGTGAGAGAAAAACATCGATCAGTTGCCTCTCATATGCAACTTGACCAGGGACTGAACCTGCAACCCAGGCATGTGCCCTGACCAGGAATCAAACCTGCAACCTTTTGCTCTGAAGTACAACACCCAACCAACTGAGCCACACTGGTCAGGACAAAAACCTGCTATTTTAATGTGGAATGTATTCTTTATACCTGTAGCTGAATTTGTGAAGCTGGCAGAACTGCCATGCCTGGAAGACCTGGTGTTTGTAGGCAATCCCTTGGAAGAAAAACATTCTGCGGAGGGGAACTGGATTGAAGAGGCAACCAAGAGAGTGCCCAAACTGAAAAAGTTGGATGGTGAGTGACTCTACACCAGCCTGGAAATCTTTTCTGGGTATAAGAGTTGAATTTGTGACTTGGAATCATGAAAAAGGAGCAAAACTGAAGAAAACGATAGGTCGTCTCTAATCTCCAAGGCCATTTCTGTCCACAGGAAATTTTATGGTCCAGATTTGGGCTCAAGTGAGACGGAAAACTTTAAGGATATTTAGACTGGTATAAGATCATCTCTAGACCAAAAGCTTATGAGAAAGTCAGGCTTATTCTCAAGTCACAGGCATTATTTTGCAGAATAATTAGACACGAATGGTAAGTAGTTGTTTTTTCACAAATGGATCAAAATGGTAGTGTTCTCTAACTGCCCCCCTACCCCCGCCCCGCCACACACACACTCATTTTAGTTTCTTAGTATCTAGGATAGGTGCCACTGTTAGTAGATATGCTTGACTGATTGAGTTTAAGTCCCAATTCTACCACTTATTATTATTTTTGTCATTATGATAGTTAATTAATTTCACCAAACCTTGTCTTTTGTAATCTAAAAACTGGAAATGATAATAGTCACAGATCTCGCTGGATCTTACCAATTCCCAGTGGTGCTACTAGGAAACCAGGTCGGGATTCCAACTGTTCCAGAACCCACATGCTTCCCTTTTATCTGCAAGCCCAGGGAAATATCTTTCTAGTCTGAGGAGAATCATTATTCCCCTCTTTATTTTCCACACTATTCTGCATCTTTCAACAAATTCTGTTCTCAGTTATCTTCTTAGGATTTTCAAAGACAAAGGCCAGTAAGTCTGACAGTCTGTTTCTGCTTTCCATATTGCCCCTGAAGCAATGAGGCACAGAGCCGACAAGCCTACCTAATTGAATGGGGGGTGAGGGGTGGGGTAGGGGATATGTAGAAAAAACAAATAAGTTATCCAGCTATGTCATCATCATCGTCATGTACCAAATGCTTATTTTCCTTATCGTCTTTATCACCATACTCATACTGATATTCATAATCCAAAACCAAAGGACCTAGTTGTCTATGGTTGAGGCTTCCTTGTTCCTGAATCCTTTGGTCCCCTCCTCATCACCCCTGCTACCGTGCTGTTTTATCCTTCCTGTTCTCTGTCTCTTCATCTCTCCCTCACTACCTCTACCTAAAGTTCAGTACTCAACCCTTGTATCCACCTCAGCTTACCATGGCAGTTGTTCCTAAGTGGTGCTGCATTCCTGTGGAGGATATTTCAGAATCCCTGGGGAGAGAGTGGAGGAGAGCTATATAATTTGAAAAAGCTTTACAGGTGATTCTTACATACCTCCCTAGAAGAGATGTGCCCATCGGGCCCTGGCCCGTGTGGCTCATTTGGAAGGGCATCATCCCGCAAGACAAAAGGTCCCGGGTTCAATTCCCAGTCAGGGCACATGCCTGGGTTGCAGGTTTGGTCCCTGGTTGGGGCACCTATGAACAGCAATGAAGCGGTGTTTTTCTCTCACATCGATATTTCTATTCCTCTATTTCTTTCTCCCTTCCCCCTCTCTAAAATCAATTAAGCATGTCCTTGGATAAGGACTAAAAAAGAAAAAAAAAGAGATGTGTTTATCTGTCCTCCAGTTGAGCATTATTGACACAAAAGGCTCTTTAAAAAAATATTATTGATTGATTTGAGAGAAACGTTTGTTGTTTCACTTATTTATGCATTCACTGGTTGATTCTTGTATGTGCCCTGACCAGGGATCAGACCCACAACCTTGGCGTATTGGGACGATGCTCTAACCAACTAGCTGGCTAAGGCTAAACGGCACTTAAGTAGCTCTTTTCCTACACCAAAAACTTTTAACAGCTTGATTTATGTATAATTGATATCCAAGTAACTATACATGCTTAAAGTATATAATTTGATATGTTTTGACATACATGTATACCACTGAAACCATCACCACAATTAAGATAATGAAGCTACATATAATGGTGACTATTATTAACAATACTCTATTGTATACTTACTTGAAAGGTACAAAGAGAGTAGATCTTAAAAGTTCTCACACATACACAAAAAGGTAACTACACAGTGAGAGGGTGGAGGGATCAAGCTTAAAAGAAAAAAAGAGAAAGGACTAAAAAATAAGATAACTACGTGAGGTAATGGATGTATCAACTAATGTTATTGTGGTAATTATTTTATAATATATACATATATCAAATCAACATGTTTACACCTTTAACTTATACAGTGTCATTATGTCCATCATATCGCAATAAAGCTGGAGGAGAAGTAAATGAACATCGCCCCCCCAACATTTCCATGTGCTTCTTCGTAACCCCTCCTTCTGCTCATCACCGCCATCCCCCTCAAGGCGGTCACTGGCCTGCTTTTTGTCCTTATAGATTAGTTTGTATTTTTTAGAATAGTATATAAATGGAATGATGCAGAATGTTCTCTTTTTTAACCCTCTCTGGATACATATGTAGGGATAAAGTGACAAAGACAGTATATTACCTCATGTGGGAGGTACGGGAATAGTCAGGAAGAGACCAGCAGGTTTTCTAAGCTACTGGTAATGTTCTAGTTCCTAAATTGGATGGTCGGTATACAGTCATTGGTTTTGTTACTCTTTAAATTATTTATATTGTGTTTGTATGAATGAATATTTCACAATTTAAAAACAATTGAAAAAAAGAGAGGGTAGAGACATTAGAGTCTTGTTTTTAGCCTTTTTATATTTATCTTTTGTTGGATTCTAGAAACCATTTGAAATCATTTGTCTCCACTTCCTTCAGGATTATATACAGGAGGTGAGCCCCTTCCTTAAGAATATAACAGGGCCCCTCATATAGACCCTGAATAGACGAAGCTATATCATAGCCTTTTGGATCAAGTATTGCCCTCAGACTAATCTGAAGAGCCCCTAAAGTAACCCCCTTGGTCTATACTAAACCAGTGTGATAGACCAGAACAGAGATGGCCACAGCGGCCAACTTGCCTCTTTTTGCTACTCTTCTGTTACTTATAACCAAAATGGAGGAATCTTAACAAGTTAAAATGAAAAAAGATAGACAATACCAAATGTTAGTGGGATGTGGAACAACTAGAACCCTCACACCCTGCTGGATGGTATATAATTTGGTATAACCATTTTGGAAAACTGGCATTATCTACAAAAGCTCTACATACATGTCCCTGATGACAAAGCAGTTTTTCCCCTAGCTGTATACCCCAAAGAAAAGGGCATGCATGTTTACCGAAAGTCATGTATGAGAATGTTCGTAATAGCACTATTTCAATAGCTATGAATTGTAAATAACCCAAATGCCCATCAACAGTAGAATAGACAAATAAATTATGGCATATTCATGCAATGGAATATTAAACAACAATGAGAATGAATGAACTACAACTTCATACAATATAGATGAATCATACAAACAATGTTGAGCAAAAGAAGCCAGACACAAAGTGCATGCTGTATCATTCCAATCATATCAATTTCAAAAACATGCAAAATAACCTATGGTGTTAGACATTAGGGTGGAATACACTTTTTGTGGAATAATGACTGGAAGTGGGACTGAGGAGGTTTTGGGGTTCTGATAATGTTCTCTTTCTAACCTGGATGTGGGTTACCAGATGTGTTCTCTCTGTGTGCATTTGCCAATCTGTGCACTTTCTGTGAACTTTGTATATACTTTACATGTATGTTGTTATACTTTGTATGTTTGGTATAATTTAATGAAACATCCACTCCCTCTTCCACTCATAAGTGCTGTGAGGAGTATAGAGGGGTAAAATTCTGTTCACTGCTATAAAGAACATAAATGTTCATTTAAGAAGGATCACAGAGGAAGAAGCATTTGAGTTAGTTACTAATTAAGGGTAGGGTTTAGATTGTAGGATAGTTGGGGAGGGCACTGCAAAATGGAGGGCCTTTGTTAACCAAGATTCCTGGGGAAGTGAGTGCAAGATGAGCCTGGGAAACGTGAGGTGATCAGTTTAGCTGGATTGGAGGGTGACTAAGCAAGACTGTGTGCAGGCTTCAAATGCGGAGCGCAGAGCTGCGTGGCCCTTGGCCCAGCGGGAGCTCGCAGCTGTGTTTTGTGTTCTGTGCTTTGGCTCTCCTCCCCCTACCCCCCACCCCCTGCCTATTCATTACCAATATTTAACGGTTGGGGGAATAACACAGAAATTCAGATATCTGGCAATACTGGGTTGCATATTTTATTATAAAAAATGAAGAGTATTTCTTTGTATTTAAACATGCAGAATGTATAGTATGTATAGGGCTTTATTTTTTGTCTGGCACCTTCAGGCATTTTTATTTGCAAGTCTGCATTTGGGGAGCCAAATACTCATTAGTACTTATATTAATCCATTTGAGAATTCTGAGAGGCGTGTTGGATAATTTGAAATTAAAGAGATTATTTTCTGAAATTATTTTTATTATGACATACTTCACAGCATCTCAGAGCTTCTGAGGTTAATGGGAAAATATTTTTATTTAGAATTTTAACAATCTGTTGAGAGTGACCAGAAATAATTTCTTTTTCATTTTAGGTACCCCAGTAATTAAAGAGGATGAAGAGGAAGAAAACTAACACCACATTTTCTGCTTTGTGTTAACTTATTTAAATGTTGTATAATTGTCTATTTTAAAGATTCTCTGTGAGGCAAACATTCTTAAGATAAAACAAATCTCTGATTCCTATTTTTTCTTAACCTATTTAGCATTTCTCCCCCCAAATGGTAACACTAACTTTATACCTTGAGGTTCTCTTTTTTAAAACTACAAATTTTTAGTCTTTTTTTGTTCAGTCTCCATCTGCTGAAATCTTTGTAGAGCGGCTAATCATTTTTAACAACAAAGAAACAAATATGGTTCTTCGTTTAATTTTTTTAGGTCAGGAATTTAAATACATATACTTAACTTTTGAATCTGTAGACCGTCTTTCCTGGAGGTCCGTCTCCTTATGACTCAGAAGCACAAATGTGTCCTGCCTTCGGTTCAGAAGGCAGCACGGTGACAGGAAAAGTTCCTCTCAGAAACTCAGCAGCAGCCACAGAAGCAAGACTCCAAGTCATAGTGAAAAAACTGTGGTGAAAAGAAGAAAAATTAGTATCTTGGAGGCCTTATAGCCCATGTTATGTTTACTTACTTGTTTTTCAAAAAATGTGTACATTGTCAACTGGAATTTAGGTTGTGTGTACATGTGTGGCCACTGGAGGCACTGTGCGTGCGTAGGAGCCAGTCATTCTGTAATGCAGGGCAGTGGTTAAAGTGACTGTCATGATTACTCTTTTGACCAACACTGTGGCTGTGTTACTCATGTGGACCTGATCTTAGGCACACTTTTGGGTTTATAGTTCTTTGTATGTTATATAAGGAAATATATATAAGCAGTAGTTATATTTGAATTCCTAGTCTAAGTCTTGGCCATTCATATATATCAAAATTTACCCTAATAACTTTGGTTTGTTGACCATTATATTGAGAGAAGTGACTGTTAGAAGAGTATAGAACTTAAAGACTGGATATGATATCCTTCAATAAATTAAATTTAGTATTTCAAAATATATTTTTAGAAAATGTCTAAGTTAAACAGCTCTTAAAATGAATTATGTAAGTGGTTATAGAAGGAAAAGATATTTCATTATGGGATCCCAGGCAAATGGCAATATTTTTGAGGATTGCTTCCTCTGTGAAGCATTGTAGCTGATTAAACTCAAAACTGCAGAGCAATAGTTGGATGCAGAGCTTAGAATTTATCATATAAGAAAAAAATTCTTTTTGGAAAATGCAAGATATGGTAGTCAGTAACCAGATGAAGTCCATAGAGGTCATGACCAAATCACTGATTGCAATAAGGAAGTCAGAGGCCCTCTGCCAAATCGTGCCTGAAGTCCCTCGATGAGAGACTCTTGATTTTCATTTTCCGATTTACTTATGTAAAATCAGTCAAAGAGGGAAGATCCATTTTTAAAAAGTGAGTACATAAGTAGTCCTGGGTTTCAGAAGTTTTCAGCTATCATATTTCATAGTCACACTGATCAAAAGGGACCACTGCTTTGACAATCAATTCTAAAAAGGAAAAGTTAACCCAACACTTTTTTAGCTACCTTTTAGCTCTTCCTCACAATGTGATAGGAAGTAATCTTTACTCTGACTGGCTTATACATTCAAGGCCTTTAGGTAGTTCTTTTGTGAACCATAGGCAGTGAGCATTCCCCTCAGTGATTTTAAGGCACATAAGCTAAGAGGGAAGATGGTTTTCTTGTAGTATGAATTTAATCCAGTAGGCAAGCCTAAAGCCATATCACTATATATGGGTATATTCTCTAAAAGTTTCTCTGGAAGTGAATATAATAGGGAATAGATGACTGACTTCAAATTGAATTTTTTGTAAAATGGCTTACAGTGTGTGTGTGTGTGTGTGTGTGTTTTATTCTGCAATATAGAAACTAATTTTCTCTGTTTCTCCTTGTTTCTTAATATCTTTAATCACTGGTAGTTCTCAAAGAAATGTAAGGTGCTTTTTTTCTGTGTCCATTTCACCCAAAATTCATATTCCGTTCTACTCAACAAATATTTGAATGACTTCTGTGCATCCTTTGCATGGAATGAAACCCAGAATCCATGCCATTAGAAAATAGAAGATAGGGTGTATTAAGAAATTCAGAATAGTCTCTCAAATCCTTTACTGTTGCAAACTTAGCTTATATTAAATGCCTTTGATTTATGCTTCTTAGATCTTCAGCTTACTTGTATGGATTCTCTGTGCTCCTGGTTTAAAGCATTATGCCACTTTAGTGGATCATTCATTTAAATTGTATTCTTGTAATGATGGTAGAGCTCTGTTAATCAGTTCACTATTGTAATATTTCCACAGGAAATTTGACTTTAGTCTATCAACTAATTTAACTTTTCTACATTCCCTCACTCTTAAGCTTATGGCTGTATTACATAGTCAGGCCTTGAAAGGCTTTGTGTTCTCTGTTCATAGTTTTTTCCTTTAAATCAGAGTCAACGTTGGCATTATCAACATTTGGGCTCGATAATGTTGTGGGGGCCGTCAGGCTTGTGATAGGATGTTTAGCAGCATCTCTGGCTTCTACTTAATAGATGCCCATTGAGGCTTCTTGCCAGTTGTGATAACCAAAAATATATTCATACATTGCCATCTGTCCGCTGGGGAAGAGGTGTTGGAACAAATTCACCCCTAGTTAAAAACCAGTGCTTTATACCAACATTCCTTTTGTCCAGAGTACGTTTATTTTCACTCTGTAGCCATATGCCACTTTAGTCGCTCTATGAGGGAAGGTGATGTATTTAATAATCATGTATGGAAGGAAAGGGTCACTGGTGTTTCCCTCCTTTGTAATGCTCATTTTACTAATTCTCACATCACATTAGAAACTCAGGGCTGGAAGGATCAACTTTTTTTTTTTTTCAGCAGGATCTGAACTTTAATTTCTTAGCATTTTGCTTATCTTAGGACAATGATTATTAACCTACCTCTCTCTTACTATCCACAGAATCCAAGTTTATGATAGATTTTGGTTTGTCTCTAAAGTTTAACACTTTTAAGTATACTTTAAAAATGGATTGTCATTTTTTAAATGTTCATTCATTGTCCAATAATGCATAGGAGTTTGCAGATTGTAGCAGTCACTAAATACAGAAAATATTGTATAAAACTTGGTAATCACATATGAAAGTTAGCTGGTGGAGACACCAGTTTTGGATGTGATCAGAAGAATGTCTGGTTACTGGATCTGTTCCACAAATAGAGGTGGTATATGTCAACTTAAATGTGGTTCCTGTTAGGAAAGATAAATTTTGACTTGTATAGATGCTTCTTCTGTTGCCTGTTTGAAGTAGGATAAGGAGGAATAAAAAATAAACCTTAACTGTTGAATTATTTTCAGAATTGGTAATGTGTAAGTAGAGTCGAAGGTAGTTATCTCTGTGACCCAGAATCTTCCACCTGGGTTTTTCTTAGGACTAAATGGGGAAAGTATAGCACTAGGGAGGTTGGATTTAATCATTAACTTAAAAAAAATTGGGGAGAAGTGCCAAGCGTTGATCACAAGTAGTTAGTTTCTCTCTAACTGAAGTCTGTTAGTCACAGAGACTTTATAGTATAAGTAGTGGTAAAGGGAGAAAACTAATTGTTAAACTGAAAAGTTATTCTTTACCAGAATTTAATTCCTTTGGCACACATTTTCTTTATTTGGGCTGCTTACTCTGTGTGTAAATAATTAAGTATAAAACAATCTTTAGTGTAGCACAAGTTGGTACTTCTGACACAGCTAACTTGACCATATTCCTTTATCTTCACTCTAGCATGAGGTTGTTTTATTTTTTATTTTTGGAAAACCACAAAATAGGTGCAATAAAAAAATGTAAGGGTATTAAAAAAAAATCACTGAACTTTAGAAATCCCGTATCTATATCTCTATTCCTGCCTTTTTATAAACCAGTGGCTGCAAAGGAAGAAAACTAAAAGGAAACACTGAGTCTTACTTTTTTCTGACCTAATGTAAATTTTCACTTGACACTTGGAGAAGTCATAAATGGATTCTTAATTTTCCATAATGAAAAGGTTAAGAGAGGAACCTGCCAACCAAATTATGATCTAGCAAGTTTAACAAGGGGGTGGGGGAGAATAAACTATTTTTCAATAGATTTGCACTTTATGAACTGGACGTTGGTTGAAAGTACTCCTAAAGGGCAGATGGGTAAATACCTTGCCTGCATGTGGACATTAGAGAATGAAACCCGTCTTGCTTCTTTGAAGCCCACTGGAGCAATAGTTGTTGACATAATCAGAGTCAGAATTTCCTTATTTCCCTACTTGGTGTCCCCTTCCACGTCTATCACATTGACGGCCATCCTTGGGAGGATTATCAAGTAGAATTCTTCTACTGAGAAACTTTTTGAGTTATCTTTCCCACATCTAGATTTTAAAAATTAATTTAGATGTTGGCTAAATTAAGTTGTGACTGTTAGGAGGGTGGGAAGTTAGTTGCTTTTTTGATCAGCAGGGTACCTGCCTCTGAGGTGCTATTGCCTAGAGGGATCAGTCCCATCAAAAGACTGGGGAGTTAGTAGCTGATAGGAATATACATATTGCCAGCTACTTCTCCCATGGTGTCAGTCATGATCATGAGCATCATTCCAGAATCTTTGGCTTCTAGAACCAACTCCATTCTGAAGAACATTTTAACATCTATTAATACTTTGGTAATAATCTTTTATATGCAGGAATTTTGTAGCATGACTTTAAGACTAAACTTAATGTGTTAAATTATTTAGAAATGTTGCGTTTCTGAATGTTATTTTGTGAGACGTTTTAAAATAGTAATAAATTGTGTTATTTTATAAAAAAACCCCAATTTGCATCTTTTTTTGGTTATGTAGCCATCAGTTTTAGCTAATATAGAGCAAATACGTGAACTTCACGATACTCAATTCCAAAGAAATTCAGACTTTGGGTAACATATTCCACAGTTTTGTGTGTATGTGTGTAGAGGGGCATGTAGGGTGGGAATAAATGGGGAAGCTGGGAGTGGAGAGAGGGGAAATGAGGACATGTTTGTGGGGGTCAAATATGTGGAGAGATGTGTACAGAAAAATCTGTGCACTCATTACCAGTATTAGCCTTTATAAATAATTTTTTTACCTTATGATTGTCACAATAGGTTGGCTGTAATTTTAAAGCCTTGTTAGTGGGGGAAAACCCCCACTGAACACTATTCATGTAATCACTTCTGGATTTACTGGGATCTCAAAAGATGGACATCTTCAGTCACTGAATCTCTGCAGCCAAATAAACATCTTTTTAAGCCATATTTCCCTTTTTTAATACCCTTTGATATAAAATGGATGCCGTGAAGTTAAAACTCTGATTTTACACAGGTATGAGTATTATTCCTGCAGCACGACAGTTTTAGCTGAAAGCAACTTAAAAGGGGAGGAAAAACACTGCTAGATAACTTCCTAAACCCCAATGCAGGAATCCTAGAATTTTACAGTAAGTTATATTTTAACTATATATTAACTATTTATTATACCTATTTAAGCTCTTAACATTTGCCTTGTAGAAAACATGCAAAAATTGAATACATTAAAAGCACTGCAATTTAAACTTAGAATGATATAAAGCTTAAAGAAAATAATTGAGGCTTGATTGTTTTGTGATATGATGAAGTTTGAGAAAAGATATAGATTTTAATTACACTGAAAATTTTTATACATGTCAGAAAAATGAGACTTTAAAATGTTTGTATTCATTTACATATATTTGATAACTTCGAATTTAGAACACTTAGAATCAGCATGAATAAAGACAACTATTAGTCAATGACAAAGATTTGAAATGGGGGAATGGATACTTAACTGGTTCATATTAACCTCCCCATGTGACTTACATCTCTATCTTGTACAGTGAGAAATTCTAATTTACACAGCTCTGTAATTGTAGAACTTTTCTAACACTCTATTTTGTAGTCTCAGAATACTTTTCAATTAAACTGACCCAGATGTTTAGTTGACAAATAAGAAATCAGCACTAAAGCTGAATCACTAAGAATATCTAATTCACATTTCTTTCGATTAATATAAATCAGGAACAATTTACAGTAAACACAAAAACCATTCACGTTATTATTAATAACAGTTCATACATTGACTGGACACTTCATGTGTTAGTCAGGCTCTGAACTAAACATCTGAACATGCAATTTCACACTTATGTACCTCGACGAGAAGTGTCACAAATTCACATTTTTCACAAGTGATGATGATGCCATGATGAGCGCTTGCACTTAACACCTGTGTACAAGCCTTTACCTGGCACTTTTGCTAGCATGACTCACTTGCAGCAGTTCAGGGTGGTTGCTTGGACGATTTTACTAACGTTACAAAAATACACAGGCCTGACCGACACCCCGCCCCCGGTCCCGCCCGCCCCCAAAACAGGACTTGACTGAGAGAGACACCTATAAGACAGCACAGAGACAAGGAAAGAAGCTGTTACTTGGGTCTGCACTAAAGCTCCATTTCCCAGTACTCAGAAGTGCCCCTCCAGGCCCAACTGCAGGAGGGCGGCCTCAGCCTCCTCCTCCTCCTCCTTGGCCTCCTCCTCGCGGATCTGCACCAGCAACTGAAAGAGGTTAGGAGCCGGCCCTTCCGCAGCCCCGGTCAGCCATAGCTGCCTTCGGATGGCCCCGCTGTGGTTGGCTCCGGCAATGACCTGCTCCAGCCGGGCCTGGTTCACGTTATCTTTATCTATGGCCCCCTTCTCCACCACCTTCTGCAGCAGAGGTTCCAGCCGAATGACATAAGCCGATAACTTTTCTCCTGGGTTCTGGTAAGTGTTCAGAAATCTGACCTGTGCATCCCTAGAACTCTCGACGCTCCCAAACACCTGCTCAAGCGCCTTCAGGCATTCCGCGGTAGTTATCGCAGGGTTGTTAGTCTTGAGGATGCGGATGACATCAGCTGCAGGGCCTCTAAGGCTCTCCATCAACCGCCGCCTCTTTTCTACATCAGACACCTGCCACTCCTCTATGACCTCATTAGTGTGCTCCAGCCAGGGGTCAAAGGTCTCCTCCCCAGGCCCCGGGATGTCTCTCCCCGAGAACAGCGTCAGCTTCTTGTACCATATGGACTCAACAAGAGGCTGAATAACGTTATCCAAAATATAGTTTAACATCTCTGCTGGCATATCTGGGCCTGGGGCCGGAGCAGGGTTCTGAAACCCAAGGACACGGGCTACATCTTGCACAGTCCACCCCTCTCTCGCTAGGAAGAGGTGCAACCTTTCTAAAAATTCAGCATCGGAAGTCGGGGGCTTAAAGACCACTTTCCAGACCCCTCCTTTACCCGGCATCTCCCTGGGGATGGCCGCGTAATCCACAGCACCAGTGAGCTCTAACAAGGCCGCTTTCGCATTCTCTTCCCTCCAAAACATCCTCCCAAGCACTCGATAGGGAACTTGGGGCATCGCAGCCTGGAGGGTCTCTTCGATTTCAGCCTCATCACAGTTCACTGGGATCCCCCAGACCAACAGAGCCCTCTGGGAGTTCACATCCATCCCCCTGCACCAGTCTTCCAACAGCGTCATCGCCATTTCCCCAACTATTAAGGGCCCTATCCTACACACACGCGTTAGACCGTGGCTCCCAGTGCTCTAGTATTTAGGACAACAGCAAACACTGCCCCTATATATACCCGAAGGAGGCAAGCTGCACGCAACCACTATTAACAAACGACACCAGAGTCCCGCTGTCGTCCTTTCGCTGTCTCCCAAAGTTAGTCGCTCGGCGCGTTCTCGGAGCGAAGCGTCGGGAATGCTCAGTCAGTCACGCGGCCGCGGCCATTTTGCGTCTCAGGTCGGGGTCCGAGGCTGGGGTTCTTCACCTGCAAGTACGTTACTGCCTCGTGGTGCAGAAGGCTTGGGGCTGGGCTGGAGAGGCTGCCGGGGTGTGGTCGTGGGGCGTGGCCGACGCCTCCTCTCCGCCGCTGGGGCGCTGGGCGGTCGCTGCTCCCGGAGTCGATCGGGCGTTCGCGGTCGCAGCCGGGTCCTCGAGTGGCAGGGGGGCGGCTGCTTAGCAGACGAGGTGTGTGCCGCCTCTCCAGGGGAAGAGGCTGTCCTGCAGCGGCGGCAGGGTCAGCCCGCGAGCAGCTTTTTCGCGGGTGCAGGGGGCCTTCTAGGCGGCAAGGACGGCCAAGGACCGAAGACACAGGCGTTGGAGGTGAGCGCTGCGGCTTGCTGTGGAGGGCTGGCGCTCCGCGGATGCCGGCCGGCCAGACCCGCAGCCAGCGGAGGAGCTACTGCTGCGGAGGAGGGAGGGGCCCGCCTTGCGAGTCGCTTCTGCGTGCCCGCCCCCCGCGGCCCGGCCGGCGCCGTGTAGTCATGGCAACGGTGGGCCAGAGGACGCGAGATTCGCGCGCTCCCGCGGCCAGCGGGTGGGAATGGTTGCCATGGTGTCAGTCAAGGACTCTGGGTACTGTTTTCTCTGATGGCGCATTTCTTTTTTCATATTTTCCAGAATTATTTTTCTCTTTTACCAAGCACTGTGTTTAAAAGCTAATAATAATCTACTTCTGCAGTGAGTTTAAGATGATACTGTTGAAGGAAATGGATTAGCCAAAGAATTTATAGCATGACCCATGGACATGAACAATGTTGGGGGAATTGCTGCGTGGAGGCGAGCAAAGGGGCAAAATCAGGACAACTGTAATAGCATAATTAATAAAATATAGTTTTTTAAAAAGACGATACTGTTGAAAATGCGGCCATCAAGACGGACTCATGTCTCTGATTCAACCCCCTCTTCAGCCGCGCAGCTTCCCTATGCCACATGCTCACGTTAGGCACCCTCCATATTTCATCCCAATGAAACTGGAATGTTGGAAGTGTGTCATTTACATGTTTTTGTGTGAGATAGTCAATTGAGATTTCTAAAATTTTGTAAAACAATCTAATGATATTCAGTAATCTTTAATAATATTCAGTGATCTATAAGCCAGGCAAACGCTAGTGTGTTAATTTCTCCTGTCCTGGCATCATTGACAATGGGCTGATAAGACAGAACGCTTATGGTTCAAAAATGTCGAGTAATCCCCTGCAAGCAAAACAAGGCCTATTTATGTCAATTCCAGATGGTGAAACTCCCCAAAAGAACACAGCATTCAACTCTGAATTTTTAAAACCTTATTTAATAAAAGGTTTAAAGATACAGAAGAACATTCAAAAGTAAATAAGTTACATAGGTACATTACAATCACGTCAGCAAGATTTTCTTTAGTGTATTAATTTTTTTATAAAAAGCACACAAAAAATAAAATCTTCAGTCTTATCTATCACAACTGTACAGCAAAAGAGGTAATATTTATATATATGTACACTATTTTAATATGTAACAGTCTTTTTAAAAAAGGGTGCCACAGGCAGCAAACACACAAAAGGCAGTGTCTGATCATTTTTTTCAAAATAAAAGGAATATACTTATTTATATGCTATTAAAATATTTGTACAATAATTACAGACTGTCAAGGCTGTTCCTGTGCTCTGTTCCCTCCAACAAGGCCTTCAACTGAGAGACAAATGAGGAAAAGTTGAAACAGCTGCAAATTATTAGAGGCAAGTATTAACACAGCAAAATATGTGGAGGACATACAATTGTTTTATAAAAATATGCATACTTCCTGTAAACCTAAGGATTTAGGCTTGCCAGTCTGGTAATAAATACCATCCAGGAAAAGTGAGCCCCAGTGAAAACATTTAAACATATGGGGCTTGAGTATGTGTTGTATTCCTCCTTCATCTTAACATCTGGCACATGAGAAGAAAGAGGTTAGGTCACTGAGGCAGTTAAATATAGGGGATCCCTTTAGACATAAGCAGCACACAACCTCTGTGCCAGGGGTGGAGGTGGGGTGGCAGAAGGGATAGGTGTGTACCTTAGCTGTGAGGGGGGCTGCTGAAGGCATGGAGGACAGTTCTGAAGCACTGTCTCCTTGGGTGGGTAAGAGACCTCAGAAATGGTCTGGAATACAGGCACTAGGTTAGTTTCATGCCCTTGCTGAGTGCAGATGGAGGCTGGGAGAAGGTTATGTAAGATGGTGTGGGGAGGACATTACAAAACTGGAGGTGTTTGTCATTTAACTTCTTAAAGCTAAGAGCTCTGAATAGAAGAAACAGAAAAGAAAAACAAAAGATGAGCCTAATGTGTTCACAGGGAGAAAGCACCATAAAGGATATACCTATGCCAGCTTCTATGGCTGCACCTACTTAATTGGCAGATCACATGGCACAATTGCATCTGCCCTCTACACATTTTAACTTTCACACCACATTCAAGATATAAATCTATTCTGGAGCATGAACCCTTCTAAAATACCATGTCTGATGGGATTAGTACAGAGAGGTACCATCTTGGTTTTCTCCAGCTACATTCACCTGGTCTGGTCTCCATGAACTTAGAAAGGAGAATCACTCTAAACAAAGGAGGTTTCTGTTACAACATGTCCATAAAGGGGCCTGAAACTAAATACAATTTAAATAGAGAAAACCTTGGGAAACATAAGTAGCACTTTGGGGCGAAGCTTTGAAGGCACTCATGACACAAGCGATTTAGAAGAGAGCCTAAATTTGCTACCTTCCTGTTTCTGGAGGGTATACCAGATTTTTGCAATCTTGGGATACTCAGTTTATAGAAGCTTATGGAGGAAATTAACTGGGAAGTTGGAAATCTAGGTAGCTGTCCAGGAGTTTGAGGGGAGAATTTTGTTGCTCCCATAGCTTGGGTCCTGTAGAGCCATATTAACACATAAATGAATGCTGAAAAATACCTGATAGTGCATAGTTTAGAAACAAAACTCCCTCCCCACTCCCAGCTACCAACATGATGCCTTTAGGCTACCTCATGAGTAGCAGAATGAATACTTGTTTGCTCCTTCCTACCATGTTGACCTGCTGTATACTTGCATTCACTTAGAACTTCTTTTGTACAACTAAAGTTGAATAGCAAGATCAGAAAAATAACTCAGCCCTCCTGTGGGACTGGCAAGTAAAAAGGCCTCCAGAACCTTCTAGCCCTTTCACTACAGTGATCCCATGCCAAATATGGCTGCTTCAAGCCAGAAACAAAACCAGAATTCTGGCTTCCAGCTAATCCCCTCAGACAATTGGAAAGTACAGCCAAAGAGGTAGCAACAAGAACAGCCTTTGATCTCCCTTGCTCCCACCAGTCTCTGTGTGGCTTTGGTGACACCTTCCACCTTTCCACCCTCTTTCAGCACTACCAGCATTCCTATTGGCAAGAGCTTCCAGAGCAACAAGGTGAGGGACCTTAGGGTCTTGGGAATGGGGTGGGGGGAGTGGGGCAGATGCCAAGAAGGTGCCTTGTTTTGGGATAAATGCACTTGGGCCTCTGGAAAGCAGGAGGCCCCTGGTCCCTGAGAGGATGTTAAAAATTAAATATTAAGAATAAATAAATAGCTCCCAAATGACACAAGTCAAGGAATGAAGGCTCCTGTCCAATCTGGTTAGGAGACCTCCCCCTCCCAGGGAAGGATCCAGAAATCTCCAGCATGCAGGGCTGGGGGCTGGGCTGTGGATATCAGCACTGGACCAGGTGGGGTGGGGTTAGGCAGCAGCTGCCAAGGGCAGGGCAGAGGCAGGCAGAGAGCTTGCACCAACAGGGGCAGGCTGGGCTTGGGTTAAGCTCCCTTAGCAGGCCCCAGGGCCCAGAGGTTATTTGGCAAAAAGGTGGGAAGCAGGAAGAGCCAACGCTTGTCAAAACTTCCCTCAGGCGCCCTGCAGCTGCCATCCTCAGCACAGGCCTCCTTCCTCCAGCAGGCTGAGAGCTTGGACAGGGACACTGGCCTTTCCCTAAACGTGAGCGAAAACCTTCCAGCCCCAGCAAACTGCTAACAAGTAGTACAGGTACAGGTACTTGTCCTCAGTCTCTCTCCCTCCAGACATTCCAGTGGCTTCCCTCCCAGGAAGGAAGCCTCTCTGAGGACAGGGTCACTGGAGCCACTTAGGCCTGGACATTGTTGTGCAGGGCAAGCACAGGTGCCAGGCTGAGCTCCCTCTCAGAGATGGCCACCCCAGTTCCTTTTCCCAGGGCTTGGGGCAGGGCCTTTGAGGTCCTCTGGAGAGGAGGGATAATGCTGGAGAGGAGGGGTGAGCTTGTGCTTGGCTCTCCACGGTGACCAAGGGGAGCAGAGAGAACAAAGAGGATGAGAAGAGACTGCGCAGCATCAGGGAGAGGCAGCGGTGGTGTCTGGAGCCCCTTCCAGAGGGCAGCCCCAGCGAGCAGGGACGCTCACAGTTCCAGGAAAACATGAGGACAACTTCCGACAGACTGAATGCACAGAGAACTGGATCCTGCAGCCCTTAACACTGCTCCTGGGGCCTTTATAAATAAAAGAGCTGTTTATTTCATTGTCTTATTTGTTTTTCTGAGAAAAGTCCATGTGATCTCTCCTCTCTCCCTCCACACGTTCCAGGATGCTTGTAGGCGCTTCCACAGGGCTGGTGCAGGGAGCGCCGGCCTCCCAGGAAGAGGGGCTAGTCCAGGGTCTCCAGGGGGCGCCTTGCACATCAGCCCCTCTCGCCAGTGCTTTCCTCCCGCAGGGCCGGCTGGTGGGGGGAGGCCACGGCCGTGGTGGCCGCAGCAGCTGCGGCCTCTTTCTCCCTCTGCCTCAGAGCTGCGGCCTTCTTCTCCTGCTCTGCGTGGCTCTTCATATGGGCGCTGCGGCTCTTCACCTTGTAAAACACCCTGCAGCCAGGCAAGAGGGGCTCAAGTAAGAGGTCTGTCCCCGACCCACTGGATCCACCAAGCTAAGTATGTGTACAGGCAGGGCTGGGGATGCGGTGGGAGAGTGACCCTGGCCCTTCCTGACTTGCAGAGTGCCACGTGGCTTTTCCCCAGCCTCCAAACAGGGGAGGCATGGGTTGCTGACTCAGTGCCATCCTCCCTCATCTAAAAGCTGCCCAGTGACGTCACTGCCCTAGAAACCCTCTGAGCCAATCAGAAGTCCAGGGGAAAGCTCAGACTACCTCCTCCTTCTCAACCAACCTCTACCAGGGGCCACCAACCACATGCACCCTGCTAAGTCCCTGTGGAGCCACATCTTACCTGCCACATTTTTTACAAGGGAAAGTGTTCTCCTGATTCTGTGTCTTATTAAATGTCTCTGGTTTTTTCTTCTTCTCCGTAAAAGGTAGTGCCCTTCGTGGCTTTCCTGGCCCCTCTCTTGGCTTCTCTGAGGCCTGGCCACCAGCAGACCCAGGGGCATTGGGCTCATGGCTTCGAAGGATGAGGACATCATTGGCCTGGAGAGGATCAAACAAGAAGCTGAAAGACTTGGGGAAGACAGGACCCCGAATTCTGGCATTTTAGGGGACAGAGGACTCCTAAATGCCACACAGTCCTGATAAATGGTCCCCTCACATTCTCCTGAGTCCTTCCAGTGAGAAGGCACTCACAGCCCTTTCAGCAACCCATTCCATCCTTGGCGAGCTCTATCTTTACAAAGCTGCTGGTACAGTAATTCTGCGGGACAGCCCTAGCTGCCATGGGACTTCCTGGTGTATCAGACAGGGGGTTTCGTGTCTCAATGAATGACACGTGTTCATTTTTTCAGTCACTTTGTCCATTCCTGCCTTTATTCCAGAAATGAGATTCAAGTCTGTGTGATGCATGGGTGCTGGGGATACAGAGGTGATAGACAGGAGCCCCTGTCCCCAGAGAGCGTGCAGTCTAGTGGAAGGGACAGATGTGCAAGCATCTAGTTTGTGACAACATGAGCCACCATAAGAAATGCCAAGCAGGTGGCCAGAGAGCAGGGGATACCTCATGCTGCCCTGGAGAGAGAAGTGCTGCTCAGGGCATGTGCTCAGGGGTCAGAGGAGCCCCGGATGGCCATTAGAAGTCCTAAATATGTGCACTGGATCGACCCTACAGTGAAGTGTTGACAAAAGTCAGCAGAGCTCCCTCAAGCATGTACCCAGAGCATAGCTCTTACTAAAGGAGCACAGCCAAGGCTCAAAAGAAAGCAAACGGCTGTGTGTGTACAGCTCGTGGGGTTTTCCTGCCAGCATTCAATGTACATTACCAAAATAAAGACTCTCCTAGTACTTTCCCAACTCATCCCTACCCTCCCTGGGGAGACCCCTCCCTGACAAGGAACAGCTCTGGCCGGAATGTCTTGCTGCTTGGCCTGTGATGCAGTGGAGAGAGCCCTGCACCAGGAGGATCTGGGGTGGAACCTCAGGCAAGTCACTTAGTACCTCTGAACCCAGGTCCCTCCATCTGCAAAGTGGAGGTTAACACGTTATGGGGTTATTGGGTGGAATTAATGAGATTAAGACAGTGCTTTGCAGAAAACCTGTGGGAAGGGCCTTCTTGTTATTCCTATGATCTCAGCTCAGTTTAAGACACTCTTGTCAAAGACAGAGCTCTCTCAGGGGAGCCCTGCCTGCGCTACAAGTCACTAATGCTTCCCCAGCATCCCACATACCGTCAGGGTTTTCATAAAACCTTTCTGCCCGAGTCCGGGAAACAAAAGCAATAGGGTGTAAAGTGTAGTGGCAGACTCTGCAGTTGGGTTGCCTACTACTGTCTCATCTCAGGTCTCAATTTCCTCACTTGTGAAGTGGGAATAATGGCAGGACCTACCATGTAGGGTTATGAGGACTCAATGAGTTAATAGCATAAGGCACCCAGTTCATTTCCTGCTATTACGATGATGATGATGATGATGATGATGATGATGATCATAGTCATGTTCCTGCTCTGCCCACTCTTCCACCCCCTTGGGCCCAGCTCCAGCCCTTCTCCTGACCCTGGGCTCCCCGGCCGGAGGTCACACTTACCGACTCATTGGCCTGTAGTGTCTGTGTGGCTTTGACAGCCGCTGCCCGCCGGCTCCGCTCTCGCCCCTCTTCCTGCTCCCCCTTCTCCTGGGTCTCTGGCACCTCTTCCTCCCCCTCCTTCCTGGTCTCCTTTACTTCCCTCTTGGGCTCCAGCCTCTCTTCACCTGGGGACTCTCTTCTGGGAGCAGGCACCCTGGGGAACTTCTGGGAAGTCTATGGGGCACAAGAACAAGGGCAGTGAGCCTAGAGCTCAGTCATGCAGCCACAGTGCACCCATTCTGACCCAGCCAGGGGCTCACTCGTCCCTGCTAGTCCTGTCCTGGCCTCCTGTGCTATGACTCTATACCCTCCCTCGCCTAGCCTGCCTAACGAAGAAGAGGGAGGCTTGAGCCCTGGAGACCTTCGGGATGAGACGGAGCACTTGAAATAGAGCCAGGGGCCCAGAGGGAGCATGCCAGCCCCCCCGCACAGGCCACCTGTCTTCCTGGATGCGTTCAGGAGACACATCGTGGGAAAGGTGGTCTGATGGAGCCAGGCGGCAGCTTGAGCTCCATTCTAATCTTGTAACACTTTCTGTATCTCCACCCCCTTCCCATCTGCTGAATGGGGACCACACCACTCCCCATCTTAGAGCAGCATGTCCCCATGTGTGGACTTGTAACCCCAAGATGACTTTAGGTGGGTACATGGAAGCAGAATCAAATAGCAGTCTCTTTTCAATTCTCTTTCAATCCTGATTATGTTAAGGACGAAGACTTGAGTTGGTGTTAACGTGTTTTTGGTACTTAGACTTTCAGACTTAAAGAAAGGTCAGGCCTCAGTTTCAGAGCCTTGGCAGGTAATAGTATCTAGATAGAATTTAATAGCCATTTAATGTTCATATGCTGTATTTATTTTTACTAGTACCTTTGGTGGCAAGCAATACTGGTTTTCTATTTATGATTGTAATATAAAGCTTCCCTTTAGAGTAAAAAATGAGTTGATTTAAAAAAATATTAAGTAATAGCACAAGTGGTATGTGGAAATGACAAAAATAGTAATGGTGACCTGTGGTAGGATGCAGAAATAGCAGAACTCAGAAAGGCGATACAAGAATGGCTGAAGATTGGGAAACAGTGTTAGAGGCCTGCTATGAGGAGACAATAAATTGATGCTGGTGCAAATACTGTGGGAGATGTCCCCCAAGTTCTGCATCAACACAAGGTGTCCTGACTACGACACTGGCCGACAGAGAGGGGAACCCGAAGGTCCACAGCCTGTGTCCAGGATATCAGCTCCTTGGGGCTGTCAGGGACATTGCCTTCTCTCTGCCCTCCAGGGATTCCTGGAGGGCGTGGCCTCAGGCCCCCAGCTCAGCCCTGGCCCCAGCCCCAGCCCAGGCCCTCAGAAGTAGAGCTGGGAAGGGAATCACCTTAATATCCACTTCAACCTCTTCCTGGGACGACTTATCGTCACTTGTATCCACATCCCCGAAGGTGAGTGTCCCATTGCGGCCAATTTTCACCTGCTTCTTGTAGGTGTAGTAGAACTCCACACACTGGGCCACGGTCTTGGTCTGGATCTGGTTTGAAGCCAAAACTGAGGTCAGAGGTCCTGGTTCAGCTCACCTGCTTGGGGATACTCCAGCCTTTCTCATGTCTCCCCCTAAACATAGTAAACACTAAACCCAATCAACCCTCAGAATGTAACCATTTCTCCAACACCTGCTTTGTACAAACCAGTGACTAATTCAATTAAGCCAAAGCTTCAGCACTATTTTTTTTAAAAAAAGCTAAAAAGGACATGGAGCTACTGGGAAGCTTGAATATGGATTGCAGATTAGAGTGTATTATTGTATCAGTTTAAGTTTCTTTATGATAATGATACTGTGGTTTTATAGGAGAATATCCTTATTTTTTTAGGAGATATATGGGTCAAGTGTCATGGTGTCTGTAACTTACTATTTAAAAAAAAATATTTTATTTATTTCTTTTTAGAGAGAGGGAAAGGGAGAGAGGAAGCAAGGAAGAGAAACAGTGATATGAGAGAGAAATGTTGATCAGTTAGTTGCCTCTCGCACGCCCCCAACCAGGGACCTGGCCCACAACCCAAGCATGTGCCCTGACTGGGAATGGAACCAGCAACTTTTTGGTTTGTGGGACAATGTACAACTTACTGAGCCACATCAATTAGGGCATTTCTTTTAATTATTAATTAAAGCAGAGAGAGAGAGAGAAAGGGGCAGGGGAGGGGTGGGAAGAATAGGTGCCTGTTTAGGTTTATATATAGACAAAAAAAGCAGATGTGGCAAATGTTAACAACTAGTAAATATGAGTGAGGGGTATATGGGCATTCGTTATACTATTCTTTCAATTTTTCTGTAAGTTTGAAATTTTTCAAAATAAAAAGGTAAAGGGAAAAACATCTGGGCACCTTCCACATTCAAAGCCAGGACAGACCTTGCAACATTGACTCCCCTCATCAATTTGGACAAACAATTTCATTCCCCTCCAGGGAGCCACAGCTGACAAGTGAGGGTAGAGGAATGTCAAACTATCAAGGGAGGCTAACAAGAAAGACCTGGAAAACCTGAAGAGGAAGCAGGAGGCTCAAGTCTTGTTCCTAACTCTGCCACTAAAGCTGTGTGGCCTTGGTCAAGTCTCTTCGTGTGTAAACAGTGGGGTGAGACCAGATGATCTCCAAGGGTCTCCCAAGCTCTGAAATCCGACCTCTCCCATTTCACAAACCTATTTGGCCACTGGATTTAGTGTCTAGGCTACTTTCCCGCACACGGAAAACACAGAGGCTTTCCCTGACTCTCCCCACTCCTGCGGGCTCCCAGACTGCTCTGCCAACTGCTAGGCAGTGCTGAGGTCCTGCCCACGGAGCCCAAGGGGCTGGTGCAGGTCCTCTGGGCCTGAGGAGAAACAGACATGCTCCATCTCACAGGAATGGCCAAATCACAGATTTATTAATTAGATCCCACTTGCACATTTAGTATCAATTTTCTCTGGTCATCTGTTTGACTGACTAATGGTCTATTCTCTTCATTAAGGCATTTGGGGCACCTCAAAAGAATTTCACAGGCATGTACTTTCCAGAAATATCACTCAATCAGAAACCCAGCAAATGTCTGCCCTCGTAGGAGAATCCATCAGAACTTTGTCCAGTCTCCAGGGCCATCTGTGGCACAATCTACAATCCCAGGAGGAAAGAGCGCATTCTTGGAAGTCCTTCTCCCTTGGTGGTCCACACAACTCACTCTCCCACAGCCCAGGTTTTGCCAGACAGGGCTAGCAGGAAGATGCAAAGCACTTTGGTTTCCCAGAAGAACATAGGGAGAAGACAAGATAAATCTAGGAAAACTAGGTCTGGGCCTCCTCTACCTGGTCAGCTGAGTTACTGGAGAGAAGCCCTGGGTCTGATAAGGGGGCAGAGGCCCCCACTGAGGTCGGTTACACAGTCACTTGTTGGTTCTCAGTTCCCCTCATCTTAAGGTGGCCTCTTCTCCCCGACACTGACTGTGGCCTTCCGAGTACACCAGCCCCGCCGGGGAATGGCTCATCTCCACCTTCAGCCCCCCTTCTCTTCCTGCTCTCCGTTAGGCAAGTCACTATTTTAAGTTGGATGCCACTGAGTCTGATGCCCATTTGGGCCTCCCTCTGGATTAAGACCCCAAGAGTGTGGCCACACTCCCTTAAGGTGAGGGAGGGGGGCTTAGAACCAAGCGGGGGGGGGGTCCTCATCTTCTTCCCTTCTTGTTTTGTTTAGAAAGTTGTCCCTGAGGCCACTTAGTGCACTGGACTACGGGCTTTTTGAGAGGGCTTGGGAAGTGACTGCAGGCCCCCACTGGCAGAAGGAGCCCCGAATCCTGCAGGCGGTTCCTGCCCTCACTTGCCCCTGAGACAGAGCCCCAGCTCACCAGCTTCTGCACCAGGAAGAAGTCCTTTTTGTAGATGGCAATCCCCTTGTTGAACAGCTTCCTCTCAGTCATTTTCCACTGGTCGGAGCCTGCGGGGCGAACAGGGAGCCGGGGTGGTGAGGTGGGCGGGACTGTGAGCAGTGTGTGTGTTGGGGCGGGGGTGGGGGGGGCAGGATTCTGACCAGCTGACAAGTGTGAGGTCATCCATCCACATCTTTGCAGGCATTCAGAGCTGGCTCCACAGCCTGCTTCTGCCACTTGCTGGCCACGTCACTTAGGCCCTGAACCTCATTCCCCTCACTTGTGAAATCAGAACTAAGCAGAAGCCACCCAGCTGTGGTGCAGACTGAATGAGGTAATGCAAGTGAAACCCGCAGTGCTCTGCCTGGCACAGACGACACGTACCACTCAACAGGGATTGACAACAGTGGCTGCTATGATTATGGCCACTTGGTCAACGTCCCTCTGAAAGCACAGGGCCCAGAATGGGACATGGCACTCCAGGCGTCATCTAAGTTCCAGGTACCTGGTGCCTGGGTTCCTGCGCCTTGTGCTGTGTCCTGGGCTTCTTTGCCTGGACAGGCTCCTGCCTGCCCACGCCTTTCTCTCTTCCTCTCCAGGGCACAGTGGGCCCCTTGAGAGTTGCCCCAGCTTTGGTGCCAGTTCCCTTGCTCTGGCTCTGGGCTTCTCCACCCCCTCTCCCCCGCCCCCCGCCAGGGCTGTGACTCAGCACCCACTGGGCCCCACTGGTGGGAGACCCCTTGAGGCTCCCGGCCCTAGGCCCGCTTCCAGACAGGCCCACCTGTGTAGTGATAAGTTGCCAGTGGGTGGTTGTGGGGCCTCAGGGGCTTCTTCAGTAGCAGCTTATTCAGCGTTTCCTGAAAGGGAAGTGAAGAAAAGGTCAGGGCCCTGGCAGGGGTTTCCATGGGCAAAACTTAGAGGCCCCTCAAATAGCCACAGATGGAGAAGGCCCTCAGTGACAGCTCTGTCTGAGGGTGGGGACCCACTGACCCAGCATCAGGGACTGGGGTGGATGGCAGGGCCCTGTGCCACAAAGTCTGGAACTAGGGTTCCCTGGGGCCGAGACTCCACAGCCCCCAACTTGGTCAGACCCTCTGGCCTGTCTCAAATCAGCATGCCGGCAGGCCTGGCTCTTGGACAGCAGATGGGCCCATGCCAGCCTCCCTGAGGAGCTATCCCTCCCCCGGGGGCAGTGCCTCACCAGGATGTCTCCCCTGGACTCGTGCAGACAGTGCAGGGCCAGCTCCTGGTTGGTGCCAGCTCCAGGGAAGATGCTGGAGCAGGCAGCTGTCAGCAGGTCTTCCACTGGATTGTGGGAGCAAGGGAAGGAGAGAGCACAGGGAGGGAGAAGAGGGAATCACTGTCAGGGCTGGGTGGCTGGGGAGGTTAGGACCAGCCTGCCCTCCTACCCAGCGACCATCTTTGCTTGCTGGCTCAGGTCCCCCCTCACCTTGCTTCTGCTTCTCCTGGCTGCTCTCTAGGTCCTCCCATGGCTGCCACACCAGGTCGGCCTTGTGGGGATCGGCAGTAGCTAGGGCACGGTCCCTTATTGGGGGGATTTCTGCTTGGAACCGGGAGCCTACGTTGATCCGCCTGCAGGGGTGAAGAGGGCAGAGAGTGAGGCTCGCCTTGGGGGAGGAGAGGAATCTGGTTTTCTCCCTGGGGATGGGGGAAGGTGCAGAGGGCAGTTGGCAGAGGCTGAGCATGGCAAGGCTTCAGCTGGGTGTAAGGGAATCTGGCCTCTGTGAGGACAGCTAGGCCAATGGCATCTAGTACCGCCAGAAAGGCAAGGCCCAGGTGCTGGAAAGTGGAGAAGCAGCTCCAGGTTTACAGACAGGGAAGGAGTCTCTTGGACTACCCTTCTAATTCTCTGAGGCAAAGGCATATCGAGCCAGTCCTTTCCTTTCCCTGTGGCTTATAGCAAGAAGCAGGGTGAGGAATGTAATGCCCAGGGCTGACTGCGGAAGCCCAGAGAGGCACCCTCTGCAGGCCCCGCAGAGCCCTTCTCTCACACAGGGCCCCCCTGAATGCGCTGGGCCCCACCTCGCCACACTCGCACCCCGGGCCAGAGGCAGGGCTGCACTTACGGCTCGATGCTCACTGGGGTGGCTTCCCCCATCACAGAGAGGACAGGTGGGGTGACTTCAGCACTATCTATTGGACAAAAGACAGGTTGGTATATGGCACATTCCTTCCTTCAGCAAAGCCCTTTCTCCCTGACCCTAGGTGGCTGTTCTACATGCATGAGAACCACAGTGGGAACTGACACAGGTTCATACCTGGAAATCAGGCACCCTGAGTCGTGGCTCCTAGTCTGCCATAGTGACAACTAACTGTGACTTTACCAAATATGTGGATGCCTCCCTTGTTCACACCTGCCAGAAGAGGTTATTCCTACCCATCTCCTAAGGTTAATGTGAGGATTGAATGAAATCGTGCAAAAAACCTAGCCCAGGGAGCTCCCACACTACAGGATTAATTCCAACAGTCAGGCTAGTGAAGCGGCTGAAACTTTGAGCACACTAGTGAGGTGGTGAAGGAGACCGCTGTTTCATAATTATCTTATCACTTCCTTGCTGGGTTCTCTGCCTCTATTTCTCCTGAGCTAATCTTCCTAATGCCCCACATGATCAAGACACTCCCTTACTGCAAAAACAAAACCTTTGCTGACTCTTCTCTGCAATGGGAGATAAACCCTGCAGCCCTAAGCAGGCCCCTTCTGCCTTTGCTTCCCATCGCCCTCTTGCCTGGACCCTGGATCCTAGCAGACTGCTTACACGCGGCCCTTCACTTCCTCTGCACACACCTACATTCAAGCCTTTGCCCCGCTCATTTCCTCTGCCTAGTGTGTCTTTCCCACCTGCTTCACAGTTCAAGCTCCATTCTGGCCCCACCTTCTGCCAAATGCTTTCTGCTCTACCACAGGCTAGCAGAGCCTCTGCAGGTTTCGGAGCTTTCGGTCTGCTTCACTCACTGACTGCTGATCCCACACTGCATGGAACCTCTGCTTTTCTGTCTCCCAGGCCTCCATGTCAACTCTCTAATGACCCTGTATTCGCCTTAGAACCAACCAGGGTGTCTCCATACATTATTAGAGCCCTCACAGGACCCAATTCAAGGCTTCACACTCAAGTGCTAGATCAACACTCTTACAAGGACAGACTTCCTCTTTGCTGCCAGTCTGGTTTCTACAGTGACTTCTTCCCACACAACCCAGGCAGGGAGAGACCCTTTGAATCTTGGAGTGGAAGTGGGAGGGCAGATGGCCTGTCAGTCCAGGGAAGCTATTTGTCACCCACAGACACCAGGGGGCACCAGAGAGCTAAGCCATGGGTGATGTCAGGATCAGAGGTTAATCTGGTGATGGCAGTGCGTCACCTTTGTGCTACCTCTGGAAGTGTTTACTCTCACGTAAACCTCTCCACCATCCTAAGAGATAGCATTATCACGTTTTACAGAGGAAGTGGATCTTTCTGTGGAGTGCGCAACATTTTTCAGCGATTCACCACCCATGCAGGCCAAAATGTCTGCTCTTGGCCAAAATGACCCAGGAGAAAGGGTCTGCCATCTAATATTAAGGACGTGATGCATCAGGTGTGATGTTCAGGGCTTTACATGTGTTAATGCATTTGAACCTAACCACAACCTTGTGACGTAGCTATCAGGTTGAACCATAGGAAACCATGTGCGGATCTAAAAATAGTTTAATATTGGCAATTTCATCACCAACCAAATACTACTAGTATTCTCATCTAAACACTAAAGAAATGGATGCCCAGAGAGTTTAAATGACTTGCAGAGGGGATGTAACAGTAAATGGTGCAACTGAGATTTGATTCAAGCGGATGACACCCCTCCCCCGCCCTCATGTGTTCTTAGGACAACCTCCATCTCCTTGACAGAAGGGAGAGTGGAGCCCTTTTTCTCCCAGCATTCAAGCCTAATTCCCAGCAGCCCCCCAGAATGAACCTCATGCCTGCCCACTGCCTTCCCTTCCCACATTCCCTGCCCCCTGGCCCCTGAGGCAAGGGCCACTCACTAGACCGGAGCAGGGTGCGATGGGCACTCTTTGGCGTGATGGGAGGAGGGGCTGGGATGCTGCTCGTTGACATGATGGCATTGAAATAGAGGCCGGAGCCTTCCCGCACAGGACTGAGGATGGGAGGTGGTGTGTAGGGGGGCAGCTCAAAGCTCCGCTCAGAGGGGTGGTCGGCCAGGCGGACAGGAGAGCGCAGGTGGCTCTGGTATGGGGTGATGTTGGAGTAGACTGGAGGGGCGATAAATGTGCCCGCCTTGGTGGGGATGATCAGGGGCTCAGGACGCGGCCGCTGCTTTGGTTTCCGCACAGAAGGTTCCCCCTCCAACTTGACATTCATGTCTTCAGCCTGGAGAAGGAAACAGAACCAAGATGGCTCAGCCTTCTATGTCCTGAGAAATGAAGTCTTGACCACTGCTTACTGTCTCACCTTTGGAACTTAGCCTGCCCACCACACCCACCAAGGCAAGCCAGAGACGGGGCAGGTCCCAAAGCCCTTCCTATTGCCTCCTCTAGGGCAGAGGTCAGCAAACTGTTTCTGTCAAGTGCCAAAGAGTAAATTTAGGCCTTGTGGACCACATGGGGTCTCTGTCATATATTCTTCTTCCCCAGTTCCCTTTCAATATTTTCAAAAATAATCCTTTAAAAATGTTAAAACCATTCTTGCATCTGAATTTGGACCACAGCCCATAGTTCCTGCTATGAAGGGTGCTATAGGGCAGAGGACTATGGTATTGTAGTTAAGAGCCCAGGCTCTAGGGCTGGACTACTTGGATTGGGACGCACCTCCTTTACGTACCACTTAAATTAACTTCCTGTGTATCATCATTTTTAACATGGGTATAATAGGTGCCTATCTAATGGGGTAGCCATGCGGGCTAAATGAATTAATACATGGAAATCACTGAGAACAGTACCTGGTATGTGGTAATTACTCAATAAATTCTAGCTGCTATCACTACTTAAACTCTAGGCTCTGCATTAGATGGAAACCCCTACTGTGTGACAAGAACTAGGCTGGGCATGGAACCTATGTCCAACAAAATGAACAGGACAGTCCTGTCCTCAAAGAATTTTTATTCTCTTAGTATTAGTCTAGCTATCAGGGGTTAACCCACTCATGCTTACACTTCTCCCTGCCTGGTATGCCTCATGGGTCTCCATATAAAATAGGAGGCAGAGCTGTAAGGAACAGAGCCTAATGCGGGTGAGCAATATCTAGATCGTGTCCCTGTGCACACAGTCTGCCAGCATACGAGGTTGGCCATGTTGACCAAGTGGGCCTGGGGACAATAGCCTTTTCCCCTTCCCAGGGTCCTACTCCCACAAGACCTTCCAGCAAAGGGCCTTGACTCCCCAGTAGGCCTTGGCTATGTCCTTTCATCATTGTTCCCTATCTGCTCTTCTGCAGAATTGGACAAAATCATATTGTTTATTTTTCCTCCTTTAGGGGAATGATATGATTGAACGGGAAAAAAAAATGAAGTAGAGCCACAGGCCCATAAACTTGCTAGACAAGAAATCCAGCCTAAACTCAGATAGCTGCAATGATTTATAATTTTATAATAAGGGAGATGGAATGAAACTATTCTGAATATTTGATAGTATTTTTCATATTGACTTTAGGAAGGAAGGGAGGAAGAACAAAGAGAATGTGATGTACTTCAGATACAAACCAAAGTCTTTACAGATGCAACAATACGATGTTTGGGATTTGCTTCCCAAAAAAATCCAATAGCAGGAAGAAGTGCAGGTACCAATGAAAGAAGACTGGCTATATTCTGAGGGCTAAATATTGAGGTTCATTATACCTTTCTCTATACTTTTGTGCAAGATTGAAAATGTCTGTAGTACAAAGAAAAATACTGAATAATTAAAAGAAAAAAGAAACCTCCCCCAAAAGCCTGATGTGGGAAAAGCACTCAGGGACAGGGATTCAGGAGATCCAAATTCCAGGGCTGGGTCTGCCATTACGTGCCTGAATGACCTTAGGTATGCCTCTTGCCTTTTCTGGATTTACTCCCTCATCTTAGAAATGGGCGTGTTGAGTTGTGTAGTGCCCAGGCTCCTTCCTGCCCATCCCCAGGACAAGCTCCCCAGGCCTCCAGCCTCCACCACAAACCTTCCCCCAACCAGAGAATGAGACCCCAGAGAGCAAGGACTGGGTTGCTCACGATCATCTTGGAGCTCCTCTTTTTGTTTCAGAGGACAGGCACATGAGCCAACTCTCCAGCTGAGAAGAACTAAAAAAAAAAATCTGGACCCAATATAAAAGCCACATTTCTGAAGGTATCGGAGAGCAAATAAGTTGGTAAAGAATTAAAGAGCCAAGATCCAGAAAAGAAGGAAAGTCAAAGAAGTGAACCAGCATTTGGAGTTGTGTTTTTCCCCAGAGCGGATGCCACGACTGGGAGAGGCAATTGAGAGGCTGAGAAAATGAGTAGAGCATTGAATAAATTCAAGGAGCTAGCAGAACAAATCTTGGAATTTAGGGCTTGTCAAGGGAGCAGAGCCTAGTAAGCTACCTGGCTGTGGATTGAAACTCCAAAGGGCTATATCCTTAGAATAAGGGTGAATCAAATGTAGACTAGTCCTCACATGGAATAATGCCCAGCTTCAAATCATCTCATCTCTACTACAATTTAATCTCTGGTTAAATTAAAGTAATCCAGGATAGCGAGTGCTTTTGCTACCTATGAGATGTGAAGATACATTCTCTCTGGAAGAGGAGAACATCATCCAGCGTCTTTAATTACCTCAATAGCTTTTCATATATAATGTCTTACATTAAAAAAAAATAAAGCATATACAAGAAACAAAGATGTGATTTAAACACAAGAAATTACAGATAATAGAAACAGACCTATGGGGATCCTATTAATGCTTATCTGAAATAAACTTTAAGAAAACTATGCAATAAAATGAAAGGCAAGGTTAAGAATTTCATCAAAGAACTAGAAACTCTAAAAATGAACCAAACAGAAATTTGGTAACTGAAAAAGTAACTAAAAATAAGAACTCAATGAATGGGCTAAACAACACATTAAACACAGCTAAAGAGAACTGGTGAACTGAAAGATAGGTCAGATTTAAAAAAAGGAAAATATAGAAAAGTGCATGACAGGCAAAATAGGGAATATGGTAAAAAGCACTAACAAATGTGTAACTAGAGTTCCAGAAGGAGAAGGGAGAGAAAATGGGGCAGAAGAAAAATTCAAGAAACACTATAAACTCCAAACAAGATAATTACAAAGAAAAACACACTTAGGTATATTGGCAAAACTACTGAAAGTTAATAACAACAACAAAAAAATCTTAAAAGCAAGAAGATTAAAAGAAACCTTACATTCAAAGGAGCAACAATATGGCTTCCAGTGATTTCTCAACATTGTAACTACAATGAAAGCCTGAAGACAACAGAATGATCTCTTTAAATTTGGCAAAGGAAAATAACTACCAACACAGAACTCTCTATCTAGCAAAATTACCTTTTAAAATTGAAGATGAAATAAAACATATTCAGACACTCCAAGAGTAATAAAATTCATCACTGAAAGACTCACACTACAAGAAATACTAAGGGTATTCTTCAAGCAGCATATAAATGATCTGAGATGGAAGCCTGGAGATTTGAGAAGAAATAAAGACTAAATATTTGAATAAATCTAAAATGAATAATTGAACAAAACAATAATGTTATAATGTCCTGTCAATATTAAAATATAGAGAGAATGAAAATACATGTCAATAATTCTACAACTTAGGGTTGCGGGGAAATGGAGTTCAATATATTGTAAGAATTTTTCATTGTCTAGGAAGAGGCAAAATACTACCTTCTATTAGATTTCAGTAAGCCATGAATGTACATTTTAATCTCTAGTGGCCCTTCTCAACCAGAGAATTAAGCCCTAATGTCATTGTATGTAATGAGTTAACAGTTCTCCTTGTACTTTTAAAATTGTACTAGGTATGTACAATACCATTCTCCCGAGAACTGAGAGAATAGTCACTCAAATCCCTTTCCATAGGGCTTAATTCTCTCACATAAATCCAGGTAACAAAGGATGATAGGGTAATCACGAAGAGAGTAATAAATAAATATATTACCAATGAATTAATGAAGAAGGGAAATGAAATTACAAACCTATTCACTCCAAAGGAAAAGAAAGAAGGAGGGGTGTGGGGGGGGGCGATAAGGCAGCATGGGATAAATAGCAAACAGTAGATGGTAGAGTCAAATCCAAGTACACCAGTAATTACATTAAATATAAATGGCATCAATGCTCTAGTTAAAAGACAAAGGTTACTAGAACAGATAATAACAAACCTCAATTATATGCCACTTGAAAGATATTCCTTAAGTAGAAGGATACAGAAAGGCAGAAAGTAAAAAGATGAAAGAGATACACATCCCCCTAACACTAACCAAAAGAAAACTAAATATTGACAAAGTAGACTTTACAAAGCAAAAAGATTACTGAAGATAAAAAGAAACATGTCATAGTGGTAAAGTGTCTAATGCAGTTCTAAATGAATATGCAACTAATAACATTGCATCGAAATGTATTAAACATTTACTGATGGAACTAAAAGAAGAAATGGAAAAAATCTCAGTCTTAATGGGAGATTTCAACATGCATGTTTGTACCACAGAACAAGCAAACATCTCTGCATCCCAGTGCCTAATGCAGGGCCTCACATTAGGGGCTCAGTCAAAACTTGGTGACCTGAAATGAAAGAGATTCACGCATCCTAGAGATTTTCCTAGACAGTCCCAATTTCAAGTGTAAAACTGTCTCGTCCTCCATAGTGCATTTGTCCAGTTTGAGTTTGGAAAGTTTGCCCTTTCCCCATAGGGTACCAGGCCCCCAGGAGCACTCAGGTACCGGAGGTGTTGGTGTGGGGAGCCTCTCATACCTGAGCTGGGGCATCAGTCCCGGGGATGCGAGTGGACCGCCTGCGGGTGACAATGACTGACGGTTTGTGTTCAGCTGGGTTCTGCTCAGGACCCTTCCCATCCTCGTCAACGCCTCCAGCTTGGGCCGCCTCAGTCGGGTCCACAGTCCGCACAGGCACAGACACGGGGATAATGAGGGGCACCATCCCGCTGTCCTCTCGTGCTCGCTTGGCCACTAAAGAAGTCTCAGAAAACTCCACCCCACACTTGGTAGTTGAAGCCAACACACTTTTCCGCTTCTCCTCAGAGCCATTGGCGTCCTGAAGAAGGGAAAGGAGGGGGAATGGGGGTGAGGTTTAGAAGACGAGTCCTGATTTGCTGGTCTAGGACCCCTAGTCCCATTCGATTCCGAGCTTCAAACACCTATGATGGTTCCCAGTGGTCTTTGATCACCTGGCCGTTCCCTGACCGCCTTTTCTCCCATCACATTCTCAAATATTCTTTATGACCTCCTTCCTGCCAGGCTCCCCCATCCTGGCCTGGAGCAGGTCGCCAGATGGCGACAAGTGCCACAGGTGTGTTTTTCTTGGCCTGCATAGTGAGTGGCATGTGAAAAAGTACCTAAATATTCAAAACCTGTCTCTGTAAAAGAAAATTAAGTAAGCAACCTGTGGCAAGGTGGTCTTTGTATCTATTTCCCCACTGGCAACTGGCTGGAGTGAAGTCAAATTTTGCAGCCTCTTACATATCAGCCTGGCCCTGTCGGCATCGAGGGTTGAGACCTCAAGTGAAGGATTGGGCAAACACTAGCTTTGGAGTTGGATACGAGGCTTCTATGCTAGCTTTATGACCTTGGGGAATCCCACTAGGAGCTGTTTCTTTAGCAATAAAATAGGATAAATGACAGCATCCCTCTCACAGGGTTTAATGATAAATTATTTGTGATCAAGTGTAAGAAACACCAAGTGCAATATAGGTGTTCACACTCTGTTGATTCTTCTTCCCCATTGTGATTCTTCCTCCCCATTGTGTCTTTTCTTTTAAATCAACTCCACTGCAGTATACTTTACACAACAAAGAGCACCTATTTTTAATTACAGTTTGATGCATTTTGACAAGGACAGTCACGTGTTAACGACTACCACATTCTTGTCCTTCAGCATGCTGGGCCTGGAAATCCTTTCGCCTCCCACTACTCCCAGTCCTTCCAGCCTCAACTGAAGCCGCCAGCCCACGATGGCATATTGCACTCCCCGCCAGCAACCCTGCCTGGGAACACACCTCGTTTCCCTTCAGGTGATGATACACCTAGGTAGAGACTCTTTGCATGCAAGGAGTTCAGAACTCTGTGGAATGTATGGGTTCTTTCACTTCCTTCAGTGAAGTGAGAAAAGTGCCCTCCTGGACCTGGAGCCACTGGCTCCCCCGCACACAGCTCTCCCCGCCCTCCGCCAGGTCCAGCCACCACCCGCGCCCCCTCACCTTTGCATTCTGCAGTGAGGCCAGCTCCACTGCCTTCTGGGCCAGGGTCAGCAAATTGGCTTCCTGGGATGCCCGGCGCCGCCTCCTCGTGCTCTGGATCACCCCGCCCCGGAGCACCTGCCCACAGTCCCCTGCCCCCAGCGCCCTCAGGCCCTCCTCGCAGCCCATGGGGGGAGCCTCCCGCTCCCGGCCATTGGGTGCCAGTCTCTCCCCATCGGGCAGCAACTGCGACTCCCTCAGCTCCAGCGGGAATCTCAGAGCTTCAGGATGAGGCTGTCCCAGGGGGCCAGGTGGCGGCTGCTTCGGGGGCCAGTGATGTAGAAACAGGTTGGTGGCAGGTTCCTGCCCGGGTTGGGTGCCAGCCCCATCCAGGGCAGTGGAGGGCAGGACGCCCTCCTTGGAGAGGCGGCGGGAACGGCGGGGGAAGGCGATCTGGGCCTGAGGTAGCACGGGCTGCGGGGCGGACTCCTGCAGGAGGGCCTTGCGCAGTTCTGGGTTCATATCAGGGTTGGGGGGGAAGGGGTAGGGCACCATGCCGTGGTGAGCCAGGTGGGACTGCCCCAGCGGTCCGGCAGGCTGCAGGCCAAAGTCCTGGGGCTGCTGCGAGGGCGGCTGCTGCATGGGGTAAAAGTTCTCAAAGAGCTGCATCTGGGGCAGGGCTCCCTGCGGCTGCTGCGGCTGCTGCGGCGGCGGCGGCTGCTTCTGCGGCGGGAAGGCGGCCACGGGATTCGGGGGCGCCGGGCCCTGCCGGAAGACCTGCCGGTTCACCTGGTGGCCGAACGCCAGCTGGAAGGGTTGCAGGGGCAGCGTTTGGTTTGGGGGCTTTTTGGCCATATGGAACGAGTTCAGGGGTGCTTGGGGCCGCCCTACCTCCAGCTGTACCTTCTGTGGCATCATTGGCCGCCCGGCGTTTTCGTAGCGGTCCAGCGGCAGCCCCCCGCTTTTCTCTCGCTTCAGGGCCTCGGGGTGGTTATAGTAGGTGGAGACCCCCATGCCAGGATGAGGGCTTCCTTTGTGTCCTCCGTAGAAGGGCAGGCTGTGGCAATTCCATGATGAGTGGGGTGGAGGCTGGCCGGGCTGCTGCTGCCAGCCACTGTCGCTGACGCCCCCGCCCCCTCCATGCTCGGGGCCCCGCCCCGGAGCCATCACTGAGTTGGGCCACTTGGAGCCCACCTGCTGGGGCAGCATGGCCGCCGTGGTCCGCTCAGGCCCATACACCACGGAGTTCAGCAGGGCCAGGCTGTTGGGGAGTTCCACAGGCTGGGAGGCAGGGGCGGCCCCTGTCGGACCCTCGTGCCCAAAGTAAGGCTCCTCCTTCACTCTGGTGGACTGTGGTGGGGCCGGGGGCTGTTGTGGGGCCTGCAGGGGTGGGAGCTGCTCCTTGGGAGCTGCTTCCTGGTCCCCAAAGAGGCAACGCTTCCTCTTGTTCTGCCCCTTGGGCTGGGCCTGGAGGTTCATGGTGTGGCCAACTGGGCCCGGGCAGTGAGACCTACTTTACCAGTTGCCCATCCCCTGGGGGAAGGTCCTGCTGGAAGCTCTGCCCTTGTCCAGGAGCCAGTGGGAGCTGAACAGGGGCAGAGAAAAATGCTGGCCGATGTGGTCAGGCACAGGGAGAAAGAACTGCCGGCCGCTCCTTCCTCTTCACGGAGACACTCTTGAGCTTGTCTACTCTTCCCAGTTCATGATGCTCCACAGGGTCCTGCAGCCTGTAGACAGAAGCATAGTAACCATGTCAGCCACAGCTCCCAGGATGCCCCGGACTCAGCACAGTGTGAAGGAGGGGTCCCTAGGGCCCTTCGCTGCATTTGGTTATGTAATTTGTGAAACGCGAAGGCTTCCGCCAAGGGGGAATGTGAGGTTTTGATCCAGCCTGAGCTCCTGAGGTCAAGCTGGCAAAGGGCTGACACAGGCCATGTTGGGTTCCTTCCCCCTCGTAAGCCAGGCCTCAGCCCGCTGGGCTGCCAGGCCCGGTCCTCTCGCATCTGTTCAGGCAGCAGCCTCCCCCCAGGTCCAAAAGGAGCTGTATTCAGCCAATGCCGGGTCAGACGCTCCAAGCACATCTCAGACATGGAAAGTGGAGAGAATGGGTCATTCCCAACTGTGCCGCCCCAGCGTCAGGAGCCCACGAGGCCCTCGCAGAGTCCAGGGCCCAGGACTAGGTTCCTGTCCTTTGCACCGAGGCTTGCAGGTGAGGCCCCAGAAGGGTGTGTGCTGTCCTAGCCCCACCCCTGGGAGGACCTGCTGGGTGGGACTGTGACTGCCAGAGTCTTCCCCAAACTAGCAGAGGAACCTGTTTTGCAGCCCTGGCTGGCTGGAGGCAGGATGCCACCTGGGAGCTGGTCGGCAGTCTGCACCCACCCTGCTCCACTGCCAAAGAGCTCCTGGCATCCCGAGCAACAGACATGATACTGAAGGGGTGTAGACTGTAGAACTCAAGTCTGAAAGGTTTCTCTGTGACATGGTGTGACAGTGCTTCTGTGTTTTCTAACTTGATTAAAAACCAGCAAACAGAAAACAAAAACCAGGTTGCTCTATTTATCCTGCTACAGAACACAGAACCGAGACCAGTATAACTTGCATGCATTTTCAAAGACTTTCTTCAGAAAGCGTTCCGTTTTCCTCCCTGAGAAGCTGGAGAGAGTCGGAGCTGCAAGACCCACCTCTTCTCCAGGCTTATGTTCTGGTCCTGAGCCACTCAGGCTGGGAGGGAATGGGAGGGGGAGCTAAGGAAACTCTGGGGAAATCTGCAAGTCCAGGCCGACCTCAGACCTCAGTCCATCCATGCTGCAGGCCACTGTTAGCTGCCTAGGAGTTCTCAGGAGACCAGCACAAAGCAGAGGAGGGCAGCATCTGGGCGGTAACGGCAGGCGCTGGTATGAAGCCCCGAAGCCCCAGCTACACCCCAGATGCCCCGGCCCCAGGGAGGCTCCCCGCAGGGAGGCTCCAGTGCTATCACTCCAGTGCAGGCTTCCGCAGCTCCCAGCCCTTCCCCTCCCAGAGCAGCGTGACTCACTCCAGCCCCCCCCCCCATCTGCCTTTCACTTTCACCGGGCACCCAGAAGGGGAGGAACTTCCTCCTCCATTTCCTTCCTCAGCTCCTAGCCCTGAAGTGAGTGATTCTCCCCGATGGCACCCCCTTTGTCTTCACGTCTGGAAGTTGGAGGAGGGAGAGAGGCTAGGAGGGCACCAAAGTCACCCTGGCCCCAGCACGAGGGAGGGGCAGGATTTGGAAGAAGCAGAGTGCTGAGGGCCACAGAGAACACCTTTTGAACAAACCCCTTTCTCTTGCTTTAAACTCTCATTCCCTGACAGCAAACCCCATTCACAGCAACCGGGACCTAAAGGCTGGCCCCCACACTGAAAATAATCCCGGGCACCAGCGAGAAGCTGCAGAGCGGGACTGTCCCGGCTATAGAAGGTGGGCTCTGCCTCACCAACCTGCAGGAAACAGCTAGAAGTACGTGTCTGCAGAAGCAAGACAGAGGCAGGAAGAGCATACGAGGGGAAGGTGCCTGAGGGAGGCTGGAGGTCCACATGTCTTCAGGGCGCTGGGAGCCCCTCAGACACTTACACACTCACCCGGACTTGTGCATCTCTTCCCCACCTGCCAGCCTTGTTGCCTTGTGAACCACAGCCTGGGCTTGGCATCTGGGGGAAGGGAAAGCCCACGTGGCAGATGGGACCTGGTGCACGTGTGAGTGTGGGTGCACATGTGAGTGTCCACCTGCCGGCGGGTACCCAGGCACAGGATGGCCACTCATCGCCTTGGAAAGAGCGGGCTCTGCACATTGGGCTGAGGGGGCAAGGGAGGTGGAGTCTGTGAGTGGGGCTTGGGTGCAGGGCTGCTCTTACCCACACCCCAGGCTGGCTCACCTGCAGCTGTTTGGTCAGGCCCAGGGGGACTAGGTCCAGCTGGTCTGCCTCCCACCGTTTAGCCCTGCCCATCAAAGAGGGCCACTAAGTAGGTTTCCAAAGCGGGGGCAGCGACTCCGAAGAAAGCAAGGGGGCCAATTCCGGGGAGGCTGAATTCCCCTAGAAGCTTCTGAAGAGGCCCCCTGTCACCCCCCTCCAACGGCTGGCTAAGAGTGTTGAGCACGGGTACCCAGAGCTGGAACCCTCAGAGAAGAAAGGCCATTACCTGGGGGGATGGAGAGAAGTGTGGAAGATGCCTGAGAACCCTGGAGGAAGGAGAGGAGGGAGCACACCAAGGCAGTGCACTAAGGAGTAGTAGTAGTTGTTGCTACTACTACTACTACTACTACTACTACTACTACTACTAATGTACTTGTGCCAGGCAGGTCTCAAGTGCTTTATATGTGTTTAATTCGCACAATAGCCTTATAAAACAACATGGAGCCGAAGCATTATTTTTAACCTCCATTTTACAGGTGAGCTAGATGAGGCTCAGAGGGACTAAGTAACTTGCCAGTGGTTACACATTAATTATGTTGCAGAGTCAAGACTTGAACCTAAATGTGTCTGACTCCAAGACCAAGCTCTTATTCCTTATCCCCAAGACGTGCCACTGAGACATCAGGTTCCTCTCTGCACACCGTCCTTTCACAGCACCCTCCCCAACATCTCAGAGCAAGGATTTTCTGGACTTAAATATCCCTCCTGACTGGCCCTGGGAAGCCCCCTACCCCTGCCTGCACCTTTGGCAGGTATATCTCTCCTATTCTCCCCAGGCCAGCTGAGACCCTCAGCTCTACATAAAGGGAGGGAAGGGAAGGGACCTCACCACAGAGGGTCCCGCATGCGTGTGAGGTCCACTTGCAGGGAGGCCGGAGGCTGCACGGCCACTTGGGTCCCTCCCTGTGGGCCTGCACTCCCCAGCCCCTGCAAGCCCACCCTGCCTCGGTTCTGGTTGCTGCTGGCAGGGCTTTCAGCTCTCATACCCCACTTGTACTTCACAGCCTGCAGCTCTGGCCAGGGCTGAGCCACTTCCTCTCATTTCTTCCGCCCCACTCTGTCCCTCCGGTGGAAGTCAGTAAGGAAGAGGAAGAGGAAGGAAGCCATCTCTTCTGAAGGCTGCCGACCTATGGACCGCCTCCCAGAGGTTGCAGGGACTAGGGCCTGATGAGGAACCTGGCTGGCAGCTCACCCCTGCCACCGCCGCAGGGCCTCTGACAGTGGAGGCAGGAACGCTGCAAAAGGAAACCCAGTCACCGTGGGGCCCCTGACACTGCAACCCACTCTGTCAATCTGCTCAACTGCCTGTCAGGGCTCCATTCACTCTCTCCTTCCTCCAGACACCTCACTACTGCAACCGGTCCTGGACCAGGCCCATTGATACCCCTGGGCAGAAGGCAAAGTAAAGTCTGGCACCAGGGGCTGGGGACCTAAGAGGATTTTAGGAGGATCTATGGTGAGAAGACTGTCTCTCTGCAGAACAAAGCTATGTGTACCAAGAAACAAAAATAATGCTGAACCCACATATGTGTTTTGCAGACACATGAGGGAAGGGGCTGGAAAGGCCTTTGGAGTTCTGGGCTGATGGTGACACCATGCCCTCCAGGGACAGCAACAGGAACATATACCACTTCCCATGTGCCCTCAGCAATCCTGCCACATGCCCAGCCCTGGCTGGGAGAGTCCAGTGAGCCCTCACCACAGGGTGATGTGGCAAGGCCATGACTGTTCAGGGGACCAAAGCCACTTACAAGCCTGGGGCATTCAGTGTGGCCACCTCAGAGAAAAGACTGTTGTGACTCAAGGTTACACAGGCCAGGAAGGAGGTGCCCAGCTTGGTCCCAGCAGCCAAGGGCTGAGCTCTGAGATGAGGATGAGGGTTGACTGGAGGACCTCCCTCATCCTTGGAGCTAATGTTCCAAGCTCCTGCTATTACAACCTGGGCCACCCTCAGGCTCACAAAGTCAGCACTAGGAAGAGCAGTGTTGGAACTCATGCATCTCTAACCCAAGGCATAAGAAATCCAAGTATGGCATCCAAGAAGGCCTCGGCTCTCCAAGCCAGCCAGGTCCCTGAGCACCAAAGAGGCTCTCTTAGGACAAAGGCTAAACTCCCTCTCCTGCCCACAAATCCCTGCAGACCTGGGCTCCTGCCACCTCTTCCAACATGCCGTGCTTGAGCCACCATTCAGAGCTGCTCCTGCCCCAACGTGCTGTTCCTGCTTTGTTTCCAAGTCTTAGACCAGGCAGTACTTCTGCCGAGGACACCCTTCCACCTTTGCCATCTGGCCACGTCCTCCTAACCTGTCAGGTCTTAGACACTGCTTCCCACGGGAAATCTTCCCTTGCCCCGAGGTTGAGCCAGGAATTTCACTATGAGCCCCTCGCAACTCCTCAATGCCCTTTACCACACTCAGCACCATATATTCCAGGTGCCTATTTCTTCGTCCGCAGCACAGAGCCAGATGCAGAACGCTGTACTAGGTAGTTGGCTTGTATCTGCCTCTCGGGATGCTCGTTCAAGACTGCACCCAAGGTGAGTCAGAACCATGCCTGGGCAGAGGCCCTGCTCACGGCCAGTGGGTCCACCCTGGGCTCCTTCCCAGCCCTGATTTCCAGTCTCTCTCCCTGATCAGTTCCCATGATGCTGAGATAAAGTGAAACGACCCTACCTCCTCACCTCTGTCCCACCTCACCCCATCAGTGGCCCCCTGTCCTCATCAACTTAGCTAAACGCAAGTCCTCCTCCAGTTGCTGGCCCACAAGCTACCTGTCCCTTGACTGTCACTTGCTGC